AGAGACCCCCACTCAATGTGTGAAACAAAAACTGAATTTATTTCTGGTTAAACAAGGGAGAAGTATGCTTTTCAGACAAAGTCTCAGAATAAAGCTAAGGGCTATAATTTATATGTAACAGGTGCGGGAGGGGGTTGAGTTCATGGAAGGTGGCATTTCAGAGACAGAAGTGCTTGGGAATGGTAGATCATGAGCTGCAAAAAGTGTACCTACTATTGTGTGTCTCTTACTTTGGGGAGAATGGTCGCCGAGGCAAAGTTTTGTTGAAAGATTAAATGACTTTTCAACCGGTTCTGGGGATTACCTGTTACCACGGTTACAGAGCAATCAGTCTTTACTTAGGAGACTGGGAACTTCTTTTTTATTCTCAGCCTCCCCCTTTTTGATCCTTCCTCCACCAAAACTGCAGGAGAGACCCTCAGGAACTGTACAGGTCTCCATGCTGTTGTCCGCTTTCCTTGAAGACACAGCTCCACCTTCCCACCTCCAGAGATCTGATGTTCACTTTGAGCATTAGCAGCCTGACGCCTTTTGGGTTTGCCATTGAATCATCCGTGGAGCTATATGTTGGGCCAGTAAATGACTGTGAGGCAAACAATAATAATTAAAAGATTTTAATTGATTTTAATTATTAGACTAAATACGTAGATTAATTAAAAGAAGGATCTGGAAGGTATTCCAGAATCATGATCCACAATTTCCTAGGCATGACCAAGAAAAGAAATTCCAAGTGATTCTCCGTGTCCAGTTTCCATAGCCAGGTCGCCTTTTCTTTGGGCTTAGAAACCTCCCCTCTGGTATTAATGCAGGCACACCATGAAGTGCTAGCAAAGGCACTTGCTTTTCCTGATTAACCAAAATAAAATCCACAGGTGTTCTGTTACCCACAATTACTTGAGCTAAGGAATTTTGATTGGTTGATTGTGCTCCACGGTGTGGGCCGTATTAGTTAATTTACTATGTCAGGCTAGATGAGAGAAAATGAGCACCTTGCATTGTCCAGCCCCTGCAGAGACCTCACTGTGCTCAGAATAGGTCTATCTATTAGTATTGATACCCCATCAAAGGTTTCTTTGCTTCCAATGGTGTGTAAGATGACACAGTCCGCTGAGGGTGTTGTGAGTTTTTCTACATAAGAAACAAATCGTGTCAACCAGAGGTATTGTCTGTCTCTATTTATCAACAATTCCCCTTGAGAGTTTGGAGGAAGGATAGGAATGTGTTGTTGAGTGCTCAGGTCTCCTCAGAGTTGGCATCACCAGACAGACTAGGACAGCTGTCCCTCTGCCATTAGGGAACATGAGTTCTTCCAATGGTTTCCTCCTTACCATAAATATAAGGGTCCTTATCATCAGGCTCTACATTCTTTATGGACAGAGAAGTTTTGATCTTGCTCTTATTTCAGGAGTCAGTTGTTTTCTCCAAGAGGCCATTTCTGGTTAATTTTGGGGGGCTCTTTGAAAATGATCAGGAGATCAAAGTTGGCATTTTACCTTCTAATTTATTTTATCTAAGTCCCCTATTTCAGGTCTGAGCCTTTCACAAAAAAAAAAAAAAAAGAAAGAAAAAGAAAAAGAAAAAAAGGCTCCCTCTACTTTAGCTGTTGGTCTGCCCTAGAATGTTCTTTGAAAGTGTCCTGAAGTCTACTAAAGTCTCCTAGTAATTCATCTTTGTTTTATTTGCAATTTTGGATCTTTGCCCAATCTACCCTTGAGAGAAAGACTTCTGAAATAGTTTTATGGGGGTACCTTTTCTATTCTTCTTCTGAAGTCCACTTCTTTGAATTCTGTATGGGGGGGGGTGGGTATTTAAATCTTCTGGTCTTTTCCATCCCACTGCTCTTAAACATTTTTTCCCCATTGCCCAAGGTCAACCATTACGTGAACTGACTGGTACAGATGCAAGAGTAAGTTGAGTTGCAGAATAACTAACAGAATCCGGAGTCGCACAGCAGCTTTCTGTCATTCTGAAATTTGGGGTGATCCTAGACACCCTCAACTCAACTCTCGCACCGGGTTTGAATTCACCCTCTCTGGACCCGCCTCCTGTTACAGGAGTTTTTCGGGGATATTGTACAGTGTTGATTGTTCTTTTCTACAGAAATGAAGGGAATTTATTTAAGCAGTCACGGGAAGGAATAGAAAGAGTGTAAGTGGGCGGTAACGATAAAGCTGGGTGGAGAGAAAAAGAGATGTAAAGAAAGTAGGTTTCAGAAGGTTTGAGTGGGAGTACGTCTTTTTTTCCCTTTCTTTCTTTCTTTCTTTCTGAGGCCAGAACTTACCAATCAAAGACGCTCTCTACTCAATATGTGGTGTTTTTGTCTTCTCTCTTTTCCAGAGTCCCTCTTAAACCTCTTACTTTTGATATTAAAGGTTTGCCCTAGTGCCCGTAATTCCAAGTCATCTGGTTAACTCTTCCATCTGTTAACTTAAGCACACACATAAAAATACGTGTATCGAGGGCATATATATGAAGCAAGAATTGTTGCTGTTGTTGTTGTTGCTGTTTTCAGGGAAAGGCAGCAACTTTAAGGTCGATGAGACCACGACAAACAGCAGAGATTACACCACAGTTGACCACAGTTGTGTGTGGCGTCTTGAATTCTGTGGCCTAACGGAGCTTAAAAGAGGCTCTCTGATCAACAACGTGGAAACCACCAACTCCAGAATATAGGGCTGAGGAAAGTGACATTGGCTACTTTCATTTCATTAACAAGACAGAATATGTGCTGATGAAGGTTTGGAGGGACCCAAGGAAGAGTTTTTGCAATCACCCTCACACAAACAGGCCTCCAACCATTGGTCCTCGGGGCTGACCTGTGGTAAGGGCTCGTCACACCTCTGCTTTCACTCCTTCCTTAGGAAACACCTCCCTATACATTCAGTATCCATGAGGCAATCTGGAACAAAGCAAAACCCTGTGAGGCAAGAACTTATATGAAGGAAATTGAAATGAAAGCAAGCAGCAAAAGAATAAGTATATTAATGGCAAGCATACCTGCTAAATGGTGCATCTCCTAAACAAAGTACCTAGTTGCCTTAAATTTTTCTGTTTTCAATTTTAATTTTTAAAAATTTATTGTCAGGTTAGCTAACATACAGTGTAGTCTTGGCTTCAGGAGTATATTCTTATGATTCACCACTTACATACAACACCCAGTGCTCATCCCAACAAGTGCCCTCCTTGAGGCCCATCACCCTTTTCCCCCTCTCCCCACCCCCCACCCGCCCTCAGTTTGTTCTCTTTATTTAAGACTCTCTTATGGTTTGCCTCCCTCTCTCTATCTTATTTTTCCTTCCCTTCCCCTGTGGTCTTCCATTAAGTTTCTCAAATTCCACACACAAGTGAAAAAATATGATTATCTGTCTTTCTCTGACTGACTTATTTCACTTAGCATAATACCCTCTAGTTTCATCCACATTGTTGCAAATGGCAAGATTTCATTCTTTTTCATCACTGAGTAATATTCCATTGTATATACATACCAGATCTTTATCCATTCATCAGTTGATGGACATTTGGGCTCTTTGCATACTTTGGTTATTGTTGATAGCACTGCTATAAACATTGGGGTGCATGTGCCCCTTCGAATCAGCATTCCTGTATCTTTTGGATAAATTCCTATTAGTGCTATTTCTAGGTCAGAGAGTAATTCTATTTATAATTTTTTGAGGAAACCCCACACTCTTTTCCAGAGTGGCTGCACTGATTTGCATTTCTACCAACAATGCAAGAGGGTGCCCATTTCTCCACATCCTCACCAGCATCTATAGTCTCCTGAGTTGTTCATTTTAGCCACTCTGACCAGTGTGAGGTGGTATCTCAATGTGATTTTTGTTTGTAAATTTCTATCTCCTTCATAAATTCTAAGAAGATAAAATAAATTCATTAAAGAGAGCTCAAGGAAATTTGAGCTCACTTCAGAGCTCAAATTATGTTGAAAAACTCCCTGGGCAGAATATCCAAAAGACTGTTGTAGATGTGGGCTAAATGGACCCAGGGAGTACCCCTTTGGTCCAAGGAACCCACAAAATGGAGGTATTTGTTTGTGTCTAGGCTGTTGGATGTTATCTAGCCACAATAGATAAATTGTCCTGTATCAAATAGTGTACATCCCAGAAGTTAAAGATTTTGTATTAATTGAAGGGGTCCAGGGCAAAAGAAAAAAAGAGATCACTTAGGGAGCTATTGTTCTGATTTAGGCAAGACATAATGATGGCTTTGACCAGGGGATAGAAGTAGAGAGAGTGAGAAGCAAGTGCCCAGGGGTGTGGCAGCTCACATAGAGAATTAGTTCTTGTGAGGGACATCAGCCGCTACCATGATGAGAATTTCTTTGGGGCGCCTGGGTGGCTCAGTCGGTTGGGCATCTAACTTTGGCTCAGGTCATGATCTCACAGTTTGTAGGTTCGAGCCCTGTGTTGGGCTCTGTGCTGACAGCTCAGAGCCTGGAGCCTACTTCAGATTCTGTGTCTCCCTCTCTCTGTGTCCCTCTCCTGCTCATGCTCTGTCTCTCTCTCTGTGTACCAAAAGTAAATAAATGTAAAAAAGAATCTTTTTTTAGTGAAAGAAAGAAAAGCCTGGTGGCAATATTGGGGAAAAAAAATCCATAAAAGGGAAGTGCCACAGAAAGGCGAGTATTCAGGAAGTATTCAGAGACAAAGGAATTTGTGACTAAACCAAGGCTTTATAATTCTGGACCATCAGAACTAGAAAGATCCCTACAGATTATCACCTAGCCTAACTTCCTATTATTATTGATGCGGCTCTTGGGACACAGAAATGCACGTGGACTTACCCACGGCCAGTCAGCAAGTGGCTGGACCAGGACCTAAATCTGGAAGACTGTGTTTCATTGCCATGTTCCCCTGGGACCCAGGCTAGCTGGAACATTTTGGAGCCAATGATCCACACGAAGGGAAGGGAAGGGAAATGGAAGGGTCATAGACTGGGCACTTACTGTGACTTTTCACAAGGGTGACTTTTCATATATTTAAACATTTACTTCTGCAAGTAGGCACTGCATTCCCATGTTCCCCATAAAAAAAAAAAAAGTGAGCTTCGAGAACGTTAAGGAATCTTCCCAAGAGCATGGACACAGAACTGGAGCTGAACACCTACAACCTGAGCATGCCTACATGCTGATGGACCTACAACCTGAGCATGCCTGTGCGCATGCACCTGGATGTTACGGTAGGGGGCCCTATCTAGAGTGTGAGCACAGACAAAGGACTAGCGTTTTTCATCCACAGTCTTGTTTATTTAGGAAACAGCCTTGCCCAGCCTTGCCTTGGGTTCAAACTCAAGATTAGCTGACTCAACAAGGCAGCCCTACAGGCAAAGCTGGCAGAGTAAAGGCTTCAACTCTTCTCCATGGGTAAGGACATGGTGCATAGAATGGGAAAAATAATTTTAAAAGAGGACAGCTGCTGGCCCTGGGGAGCTACGCAAGAGTTGGGAGGGAGGAAGACTATTATCTCTTGGGAGAGGTTGACCCGGTATGGCCCCCATCACAGTGAATTTCCAGTGTGCCTCTGGAGTTCAGATCCCAGAAATCATGGCCCCCGTTCCTTCACCTCTTCCAGCAGCCCACCAAAGCTTGGCCTCGAAGATCTTCTGTTTATGCTGCAGAGACTGTGAAGAGCCCCAGGTCATGGAAGACCCCAAAGTCCCCAGTCAACCCCAGGAGCATCAGCCTTCCACCTGCAGTAGGTACCAGACAAGAACACCCCGCCTGGCCTCTTTAGACCTCAGTTTTTTCATCCCCCTTCTGCTGTGATACCCTCAGGTTTCCTTCTGCTTTTGAGTGATATTTCCAACCTAAAATTAAGGTGAGGACTGGCTGGTTTCCTAACTCAAACCAATAAACAATAGAGAGCGAGGCTGGTCAGGTGTCTGGAACGGTCCCATCAGGAGATGGAGCAGTTCAACGGCAGGAGAAAAGTTCTCATGGCATAGTTTTCCAGGAAATCCTTAATGAGGGCCTTTAAAATGCTTCCGCAGGAAACAATTTCACAATAGAAACTGAGGACCTTAAAAATGTCGATCCCTTTTTCCTAGATAATAAGAGTGGTAATGACTGAGCCCCTGTTACTTACAAGACACTTCTCTGGGCACTAGGGACCCCTCTGTGATCAGGTAGGTCCCCTGCTGTTTCAGAGCTGACACTGGAGAAAAGCGGTATTACCTGATCCCTACTGTAACTCCTAGAAGAAGTGATTATCCAAAATGGACGCGTCATTTTGTAGCTCTGAGAACAGAGGCACGGGAGGGAAGCAGTTTGCTGTACTTGGGCAGCTAGTAAAGGGCAGAGATATTTACTACAGAACACAGCGCAGTCTGTTGACAGACCCCTACGCTATACTTTTAAGAATTTAGGGGCATCTGGGTGGCTCAGTCAGTTAAGTGTCCGACTTCGGCTCAGGTAATGATCTCATGGTTTGTGGGTTCGAGCCCCACGTCGGGCTCTGTGCTGACAGCCAGCTCAGAGCCTGGAGTCTGCTTCAGATTCTGTATCTTCCTCTCTCTCTGACCCTCCCTTGCTCACGCTGCCTCTCTCTCTCTCAGAAATAAATAAATATTAAAAAAAAGAATTTAGAATTATGGGGCACCTGGGTGGCTCAGTCGGTTAAGTGTCCATCTCAATTTCAGCTCAGGTCATGATTTCATGGTCCTTGAGATCAAAACCCACATAGGGCTCTGCGATGTGCATCGAGCCTCCTCAAGATCCTCTCTCTCCCTCTCTCTCTCTCTGACCCTCCCCCCACTTGCAAGCGTGTGCTCTTTCTCAAACATCAAAAAAATTAGAATTATATAAAAACAGAGCCTTATATACAACAATGTTAACCATAATAGTATTTATAGTAGTGAAAACAATTTAAACACCCAACATTAGAATGTTGATTAAGTAACTCTTGAATTACCTACAAAAGTAGAATATTATATACAACCATCATTTCTTAAAATTTAGTGACCTGAGAAAAATGTTTATGATACAACATGGTTGAGAAAAGGAAAATGCATACATGACATATAGGATATGATGGGCTGTGTAAAGAAGCATGCAAAAGACCAGAACTGTGATTACATCTGGGGGCCCAGAAGTCATTTCTATTTCTACTTCATATTCTTCAATCTTTCCTAGCTTTTCTGTAATGGAGATGCATTAACATTTATAAATAAGGAGTGGGAAGTAAACTTTGTGTTTTAAAAAGAATACACAGTCTGAACCCAGCATGTGCTTATGAGGGGGAGCACTCCGGCCATTGGAGGAGGGAGATCCAGGCGGCCCCCACCCCCACGACCACCACCACTGGTTCGTGTGCACTGAGTCGAGGTTGACAACATACCTTCACTTCCGCCACCTCCCTGGAGCCTCCCCACTGACTGTGCGGAATTATCACCGCCAGGTTTGCAGAAGGAGGAGCTGGACAGCAAGAATTCGAATCATGCTAAGGAAGCCTCCCGCCTGCCTTCGGGACAAGCTCTGATTCTCCCAGAAAAGAGAGCCTCCACCACCAGCAACAGTGAGTATGAAGGTGAGTTCCGAATTGGGGTCCTAACACCGACCAGGAAGCCCCACTGTCCTGGCGACCAAACCCCACTGATCTTTGAGCTAAACTAAGTGTGGTGATGGGAGAGACAGGACCACTGCCTCCAGGAAGCGTCAGTCGTCTTCCAGAACACTCTGGAGCGATTCCAGGAGTCCCATCTGCCTGCATGACCCACCGAGCGAGGGATTACACAAGGAGCGGCGGGTCTGGGAGGAAAGAACACACATCCCTGCTCCTCTGCTAAGCCCCTGGGGTCTTGTCTTACTCGTCTGTTTTGTGCGGCTGTTGCTCTCAGGTCTGCTGTGGCCACTAGAATGCAAGTCCCTGGAGGGCAGCTGTGTCCCCCAAGCCCTGCCAGGTGCATGGCACGTAAACACGGCCAGGAAAAGCTTGTGGGCTGAGTACAGTTCAGATGGGGGTGAAATGCCTCAGGGTCATGGAAGAAGGATAGAAGTTCAATCCAACAAGAAGAGATGCCGCCACGTTGCTGGACACCCATCCTGCCCAGGTGACCTCGCTTAGCTCACAAGCACCTGTGAGCCTGGCCGCTAAGAGCTAAGGACCAGCGCAGCCCAGACGTTTCAGGATTCTCAAAAACAGCTACACCCTCCTTGCAAACAAAGTCTCACACAAAGTGAGACCACAAGGCTCCTGCTGCATTTGAATCGAGGGTCGGGCCTGGGAGCCCCACTAGCTCCGACACCCCGCCCCTCTCACCTCCCACCCCCCGCAAGGCTCCATAAAACACAGTTTAAAAACCCACCTCTCTTGGGGCACCTGGGTGGCTCAGTTAGTTGAGTGTCTGACTTCGGCTCATATCATGATCTCACGGTTCATGAGTTTGAGCCGCATGTCAGGCTCTGTGCTAACAGCTTGGAGCCGGCTTTGGATCCTCTCCCTCTCTCTCTGCCCCTCCCCTTCTCACTTGCTTGCTTGCTCTCTCACTCTCAAAAATAAATAAACATTAAGAAAAAGAGCTCTAGGGGCGCCTGGGTGGCTTAGTCGGTTGAGCGTCCGACTTTCACTTAGGTCATGATCTCGCGGTTCGTGGGTTCGAGCCCCGCGTCGGGCTCTGTGCTGACTGCCAGCTCAGAGCCTGGAGCCTGTTTCAGTCTGTGACTCCCTCTCTCTCTGACCCTCCCCTGCTCATGCTATCTTTCTCTCTCTCTCCTAGAAATAAATAAAAATCTTTAAAAAAAAAAAAAGAGCTCTAAAAACAAACAAACAAAAAACTACCTCTCATTGCATAGAGAAAACTGAGGCCCAATGGGGACAGGGGCTTTCCAAAAGTCCCCCCAGGAAGTAAGGTCAGTGTTAGAACCAGACTGGGCACAATTCTCCTACTTGCTCCTTGCAAGCCCCCGACCATCACTGACCCACCAATGAAATACAAACGCAGAGCCTATTGATGTGGCCCTGCCACAAAGGACTTGCGAGTCCCAGCCTGGGGGTCCACGTGCTCCCACGGTATTCCAGACCCCGGCCCTGATCAGGGCTGGAGGTGACCAGGGCGCTGCCCCCAAACCCAGTGCGAAGGTTCCGCCCAGCATCCTAACGTGTTCCTTTCTGCTTGCAGAACTGAATACACACGTTTCCCAGAGAGGTTTTTACAAGAGAAACCTAAACCGCTACTCCCGGGACCACTGGCCATTCCAGCCGTGCCACATTGGGAGACCCTGACCGTTCTAGACCGCGGCTCCCACGCGGGGCCCGAGGCGACCCGCCGCTGGCGTGTCCGGGAGGAAGAGGGTGGTGAGCAGGGGCCATGAAGACGGATTCAGAAACCCCCCCCAGAGGAGGAGATGACGTCTGAGCCACATCTGTGCCACTGGCAAGGGTCACTCCAAGAGTCACTCCAGCTCCTGAAAAAGCCACTGTGGGGAGAATTGCTTCCAATTAAAGCCCCTGGTGGCATTGCAGGGCTGTGTCTCTCCTCATTTCCCCTCCTTCGTACAGGGAGCATCTCTTCCAAATGCCTCACTGTTTCTCAATATGTTATCCCGTCTCCCTAACTTAAAACAACAAAAAAATTTAAACCTTATGGATAGCTTTTTTTTTCATCTTGAAACCCTCTTGAATTTACTGAAACGTTACAGAACAAAGAACTCCTAGTTACCTTTTTACCCAGATTCAACAATTGTTTGCATCTCCCCATTTGCTCTATCATTTCTTCTCCCTGCGTTTTCTGAACCATTTGACGGTGACCTCGTTATCCCTGAATACTTCCGTGTGTATTTCCTAAGAATGAGGACATTCTCTTCCATAACTTCAGGCCAGCTATCAAAAGCAAGAAACTCAATATTGATATACTATGAGCATCAATTGCCCCGAAAATGTCTTCCAGCTGCTTTCTTGCCAAGCGCAGGATCGAATCCAACATCACGGGTAACATGTCTTTGTCACGTCCCTTGAATGTATATTTAATCAGGAACGGTTCTGTCTGTATCTTCCATCTTTATCTTCATGAGCTCCCCATATCTGAAACATATAGGCTCAATTGTCTTATAAGGTGTCCCTCAATTTTTGTTTATCTTATGATTCCAGTTTTGCATACATTTTTTGGCAGGAAGACCAGAGAAGCAACATTGTATCGTCCCCAGTGCATCATATCAGGGGACATGTGATGTAGGTAGGTCCTGCCATTGGTGACAGTAACTCAGATCGCTTGCTTAAGGTGGCATTTGCTGCCAGGCTTCTCCACTGCAAATTACTATTTTCCTCTTTGAAATGAGTAAGTCATATGGGGAGAGACCCTGAACAGCCCATGGCTCATCAAACTTTCACTCACTAGTATAAGTGTCTAGGAAACCACCCCCCTCCCAGCTAGCATACTATTCCAAGAAGGGTAAGAGATGCCGGGCTCCTGGGTGGCTCAGTCGGCTAAGCATCCCACGTCAGCTCAGGTCACGATCTCACTGTTTGTGAGTTCCAGTCTCACCTCGGGCTCTGTGCTGACAGCTCGGAGACTGGAGCCTGCTTTGGATTCTGTGTCTCCCTCTCTCTCTGCCCCTCTCCTGCTCATGCTCTGCTTCTCTCTGCTTCTCAATTTAAAAAAAAATTTTTTTTTAATTAGAAGGATAAGAGACGCATGAGGCAGCACCACCCCAGCCGATCTGATGGGCATGATGGGGAGTATGGAATCACCACAGAGGGAAGGACAGACCACTGGAGAAAAGGTCAGAAGACCTACCCCCTCCTTCCTGACGTTGTGGTTCATTCAAACCCTTTTGCCCCCAAGATTCTCTGGTTCCCTGGCTCTGTGACATCACAGCCTCCTCTCTTCTCTACCAGCTACAGGTGAGTGAGCCTCAACGGTTAGACCTCAGAGCAGGACAGGCTCTTTTTTCTGTACCTAAAGGGACAATGTCTCCATCACTCCTGGACACCTTTGCTATAAGAAGCAGACGCCGCCCCTAATTTGCCTTGACCCCACCGTTTCTGTCTCTGGGCCCCAGTCCCCCTCACCTGTGCTGACTGACCCCTAAAGGCTCCTCTGGCTCCAGAAACCTTCCTGTTTGACTTCGTTGGGTCTTTCTTGTTCTGATCCAAGTGCTGTGGGTCATTGGAGACCTGAGGCTCACAGTCCCCTGGGCATAACCCAAGAGACCTTTTCTTTGGCTCCTGCCTCCATCTAGAGGCGGGCACTGGTAGTGCAAGAAACAGTGCACTCCGTGCCCCGTCCCAGCCAGCATCTGTCCTACATCACCCTCAGTCACGTTTTTAAGCACTTGCCATGTGCCAGACACCGGGCCAAGCACTTCACATCTTTATGCCACCCAACCATCACACAACATTCCCATTTTACAGATAGAAAAGCTGAGGTTCACAGACTAAATTGCTCTAAATAACACAGCAAGGTGCAGCAAAGATTACAAGTTATCCCAAGTTATCTAAGTAATAACAATGTACGCTGTTCATTGCTACACTGCTCTGCCAAGCTTTGAGGGGTGTTTCCATTTAAAAACCACCTGTCATCAACTCTCCAAGGAGCAGAAGGTGTTTCTGAACATCTCTCTGCCCCTGGAAGTGCCTGTCAGGGCAGGCCCTGGACAGCAGAGGCTCGGGTACCAGACAAAACTGTGTATGACCCCGGCTGCTCCTCTTGGCGCTGAGGCCTGGCTGTCACCTTTCAGATGGAAGGCTTCTCCACCATCCGAAAAGTTAGCTGAGCTCAGAGACGTCCAAGGACCTGCCCAAGAAGCTCAGAGAAGGTCAGTGTCCTTGACCGTGGCTGTTTCTCTTGCCTTGTTAATTTACAAGGTTGAAGTCACCGGGGAAGAAGGAGGGAAGTACAGAATCGGGATGTTTCTATCCACTTCTAAGAGCAGGGAGTAAAACACCTGTTCGTGAAAGGGAGCATAGGGACAATATTGTGTCCATTGTAGTCCGACAGTCAGAGAGGCCGTGTGTCTTTACTCAGGTGCCATTGAGAGAGAACCCACCCTGTGCTCACTGCTGGGCTCCAAAGGTGAATTGGAACCATCCCTGCCTCCTTAAAAGCAGAAATCTCTTACTCATGTTCACTGCCGAATCCCTCACCTAGTGCCTGGCACCAGTAATCCTCAATGAAAACATGCCGAGCAAGTTTTTTAAATCACAGATTGAAGTCTAGACTCTCATAGGCAAATAAGCAGACTGTGAAAACATTGCCCATTCAACAAGCATTTATTGAGCACCTGCAATGGGGTTAGGCAGATGCTGTGCAGTGACCGGCACTGGCCCTGACCCAGGGAGGCCCAGGGGTCTGCGGGACCCCTGGGGAGGCCCTTGGTTCCTCCCGGGTGTAAGAGACGGCTTCCCAGAGGGCGCAGTCCCGGAGCTGGGTCTCCAGTGGGAAGGGTGAAGGAGTGAGAGCATGGACATGGGGGAAGCAGTTTGTGCAAAAGCTTGGTGGTAACACAATGCAAGCAAGTCCAGGGCGTTGCTGGCTGCTCCTGCGGCTGGAGGGCAACAGGCGAGGCCGGGAGGGAATGAGGCCGGCAAGGTTGGCGTGGCCAGGCTACCAACCAGTTTCGAGCAGTACAGCAGGGAGCCACGGAGGGTTCGAGGCACTGGGTAATGACAGGACTGCAGGAAGATGGGCTGGCAGGGGAGCCAGGGGCCAGCAGGGAACCTGTGGCCATAGGGGTCCAGCCGAGGACAGGGGTGGAGGGTGGCGGGCGATGGAGGAGATGTTTACGAGGCAGAATCACAATGCCAGGATGAACGGCTGAATGTGGAGAGAAGGGAAGGTGGGGGCCAGGAGGGCAAGGGAGTCCCCATCTCTGACTCCACACCTAAAGTGAATCGTGGGACCTGATCCCAAAATAGAGGACATGAGAGGAAAAGAAACAGGTTTGGGTTGAAAAGGGTGGGGAAGGCAGATGGCCCCAGCAGCCAGCGGTCAAAGGCAAACCTCTTCGTTGTTCTTAAAGCCATCAGTCAGCTTGACAGTGGCTGAAGCCAACAGCGTCTCACCAGCCGTCACGTCCTGGAACAGCAGCTCATCTCACCAGGAATTGAGTGGTAGAGGGAATCGATCGGGAGAATTATATAGAGGGGGAGGAGACTAAATAGGAGGAGAAGGCCTCACAAGATAAGCTGACCTTCGCGCAAAGCCTTGAAGGAGGGGAGGGAGGAGTTCCATGAATCTTCAGGGAAGAGCATCGCAGGCGGAAAGGGCAGCCGTGTTCTGCGTGTTCTGTGCAGCTGGCACAGAGTGAAGGGGAGGGCAGGGCGGGAGGAGACAGCAGGGGAGGGATGGGCGAAGGTAGTGCTCAGGGTACAGATTTTTTCAGAGGATGCCCAGAGACGGACTCTGGCTTTTATTCTGCATCATAGGGCCCGGGAGACTGAGCGGAGGTGTGACATGGAGTGACTTACATCATAAGAGGATTCTGCTGTGTTGACGCTAATGACGACGAGGGTGGAAGAAGCCTGGGGGCCAGTTAGGAGGTCATTGCCGTGATCCAGGTGAGTCACGGCAGTGGCCGGGGGAGGTGGGAAGCCAGTCCCCAAGGACGAGGCCCTGGGAGAAACCCAATAGGCAGTAAGGGAGTATAGCCGCCATGATGGAAATTCCCAGAGTAGGGCTTTGGTCACAGGGAAAGGGAAATGAGAACAGGAGCGAGGCCTGGAAAAGAGAAAGAAGTTTGGGAATAAGAAAGTTAAGGATGTACAATCTTGAGTCAACAGAGCTTGGAGGAAAGGTGCAGCCCAACTGCTACCTGTTAGATGGAACCCTAAGTCCAGAGACAGATGAACCCAAAGCCACATAGAAAGGTTGAGCTGTGTTATCAGCTGATCTGCTGATTCAGCAAGGTACCCCTGCAGGTAAAGACTGGAGGAGTAGAGGCTCCAACTCCTTTCCATGGGTAAGAGAACTTTGAACAGAGGAAGAAGAACTGGTCAGAGGTAGGGCCAAATAGGTGGGCCTGGACATGCCGGCCACAGGGAGCTACAGGAGGTTTGGGAGGGGAAGGGCGTGACACCTTGGGAGAGGCTGGCCCAGGGTGACCCACCACTTAAATAACAATGGGCTTCTGGGACTGTGGCTGCACAGCCAGACACCCCAGTGCCCTTTCCTCTTCCCACAGCCACCCAAACATGGCATCACACATCTTCTGTTGCTGCTGCCAGGCCAACGAGGGGCCTTCTTCCACCATTGACTCACGTAGTCCAAGAACATCCCGGAAGCACCAGCCACGGTCCTACGGTAGGTCCCAGGCCTCTGTGTGTGTGTGTGTGTGTGTGTGTGTGTGTGTGTGTGTGTGGAGTTGGCAAGAATACTGGAGTTACCTCTCGGGATGGCAGTCTTCCCAGCCACCCCCTGCTGGGACACCTCCGATTTCTTCCAGCCTTTCGGGGGTGTGGGACTAAGTCACCCAAGCCTGTAACAACTTAGCCTAAAGATTATATTATTTATTAGATACCAGATATTAGTTAAGACCACTGGCTTGCGTCCTACATATGAGTCGAATTCTGCCTCAGCCACTTACTAAGCTTGAGCGTGTCACCGTATGTCTCTGAGCCTCAGAGTCCTTCTTTACAAAAGGGGAATAATGATAGCACATTACCTACTTCTCAGGTTATTGGGAGGATGAAATGAGGTAGCATATGTAAGCGCCTGGAACACAGTCCCGTGCGGAGAAGGCACTCAAGAGGCAATAACTGTATATGTGTTCTGGTCAGGACCAGCAAGGCTTTGCTGATGTAACAAGTAAACCATAAAATCTCAATTGCTTGACCCAGTTTGGGGTTATTTTTAGCTCAAGCCAGCAGAATTGTTTTTTTTTAATTTAAATATTTTTATTTATTTCTAGGAGAGAGAGACAGCATGAGCAGGGGAGGGTCAGAGAGAGAGGGAGACACAGACTCCGAAATAGGCTCCAGGCTCTGAGCTGGCAGTCAGCACAGAGCCCAACGCGGGGCTCAAACCCACGAACCACGAGATCATGACCTAAGCGAAAGTCGGACGCTTAACCGACTAAGCCACCCAGGCGCCCCCAGCAGAATTGTTTTCAAGCCATTTAATAACACGAGCAGTCCCCATGCGGGATATGACCAAGACCGGTTGTCTGCATGTAATTCAAAGCCTTTACCGAGGACTGACATTTTCCTTCATTCTTTCAGATCTGAACACGGATTCTTGCACACATGGTTTGAAAAAGAGACACCCATACCACCCCTCCAATATTTGGGTGCTAAAAACATACACTACTGGGAGACCCTGAGCATGCTAGTTGGCAGCCCCCATGCCATGTGCCTGCCTGAGGGTCTCCAGGAGGAAGAGGGCAGTGAGCAGGAGCTATGAAGATGGATTCGGAAACTCCCCGGGAGGAGAAAACATCTGAGCCATTCCTGTGCCACCAGCGAGAGTCGCTCTAGCCACGGCAGGAGGAGCTGCCTCCAATTAAAACCCTTGGCTGCATCACAGGACTGGGTCCCTCTTCTTTTCCCTTCCCCCAGGCCTGTTTCTGAGATTCCCTTGCAAGTGAAGGAATCAGAACCCGGTATCTCTTGTAAAGAAACGTGGTTGAATCCTTCTAAAGCCTTCTCAGTCACTCCTAACCAACCCAACGAGGAAGTGCTTAGGAGAGGCTGGTTCGTGTAACAGGTGGCTATAAATGGATGTTGTAGTAAATGTTGGAGCTTGCACGCACAATTCTGCTCATCTGCTGGGTGACCCCATCTGGTGCTCAGGGCCATAGTGACCAGTGGGGCAGGCTGTGCAGACCTCTGCGAACAGCAGCCCTCGGGTGATGCAATGTGCAGCCAGTGCAGATAAACGAAGCTGTTTGCTAAAAAGCAGTGCAAAGGGGCACCTGGGTGGCTGAGTCGGTTAAGTATCTGACTTCGGCTCAGGTCATGATCTCATGGTGCATGGACCCTGCATCGGGTTCTCTGCTGTCAGCATAGAGCCCACTTCATATCCTCTGTCTCCTTCTCTCTCTGCCCTTCCCCCACTCATGCTCTCTCTCTCTCTCCCTCTCTGAAAAATAAACTGACATTTAAAATTTTTTTTTTTTTAAAGCAGAGCATGTAGGGGTTCCTGGGTGGCTCTGTCCATTAAGCGTCTGACTCTTGATTTCAGCTCAGGTCGTGATCTCACAATTCATGGGATCAAGCCCCACATCAGGCTCTGTGCTGACAGCATGGAGCCTGCTTGGGATTCTCTTTCTCTCCCTCTCTCTGCCCCTTCTATCTCTCTCTTCTTCTCTCTCTCTATCAAAATAAATAAACTTTTAAAAACATTTTTTTAATAAAATGCAGAGCGTGCAAACATGAGTAATATGCAGGACATCCCAGGGGGCTTCAACTTTAGCCAGGGCACTAGGCACAGAAGCATCTTACTCCAATCTAATAGGACAACTTGGAGGAGCAAGGGAATGGGAAGCATTTTGCAACCAACTTGGGGCCTTGGGGGAGGCTTCCTGGAAGAGATGGTGGTTGGAGTTTTCTGAGTGTTGAAAGGGGATTGGCCAAGCAAACAGGAAGGGGAATGGTATTCCAGAAGGGGGTACAAAATAAATAAATTTGGAAATCAGAGGCACAACTTGGGAGTGGTGGGAGGGAACAAACGCCGATGTTTGGAATGACTAATGTGAAAACCTGAGCCAGGGTGTGGTGGGATGTGAGGGGGGCAAAGGATCATTGAAAGTTTCATATTCTAGGAAAGGAGGTGGGTTGGGGGCCCGCAGGCGAGTTTTAGGCAACCGAAATGACATAGCCCGATTTCCGATGTTTGAGATGTGAACACGGTGAGTTGTTAAGAAGACAACTTCTCCTCCTAGCACTCCCTGTGTCAGCCCTGGCCTCCAAAAAGAGAGGAAGGAAGAAAACTGATGTCTTACATCATAGTACTGTCGACTAAAACTCACACCTACGATGGGAAGCCCATTCTGGCCAGGAGTGTGTAAATTCTGGTAGATCACTCTTCTGAGTGCTTTATAAATATCACCTCACTTAGCATAATAACCCAACAAGGTTAGTACAATTACTACCGTGGTTTTACCAAGTAGGAACCTGAGACACAGAGGGCTTATACGTCTCTGAAGGTTACACTAATAGCAGTGGCAGAGCTGAGACTTGAACCCAGGATGCCTGAGTCCAGAGTTGACACTCTTAGGCAACCAGCTATGCTGCCCTTCACTATGATAGGAAAGCAGCATTCATTTATTGCTCCAAATGGACTATTCATTGCCTACTCTTCAAAAATGGAGCTGGGCCTTTTAAATCTTTTTTTTTTTTTTTTTTTTTGGCAGCTGGTGCAGTGCTACGTTTTGTCAGTAGGGGGCGCTGGAGACATAGGCGGAAGAAGGGCTCTCCTTCCTGGTTCTGGTGAGCTTAGGGTAGCAGGATTCCACAGCCCAAGCAGTTCCTCCAATTATCTGGCTCTGGCAGTGTACAGGCACCAGTTCTTGCCACCCAGAAGCTTCTCCAACCTCAGGCTCCTGCAGTGTAGACAACTTTCCAGCACCCAGATCCTGCATGGTGATAAGCAGTACTTAGCAGCCCACAGTTTTTCCCAGTGCCTACCATCAAACTGGGAAGGGCCTCCATCCCTCTGTGATACCTTTCCCTGGCACCTTAAAGTGCAGATTTCTAGGGGCACCTGGGTGTCTCAGTCAGTTGAGGGTCCGACTTCAGCTCAGGTCATGATCTCATGGTTTGTGAGTTCGAGCCCCACATCGGGCTCCACGTTGGAGCCTGCTTTGGCTCTGTGTCTCCCCCTCTCTCTGCCCCTTCCCTGCTCACACTCTGCCTCTCTCTGTCTTTCAAAAATAAACATTTAAAAAAAAATGCAAAGTTCTAGAATCTCCCGTCAACACATCATCTCAGAGGACTTCTCTGCATCCAGTGAGCCATGGCCGTGTCCTTCCCAACAAAATCCAGATTTCAGCTGGGGCTGGGGCATGGAGACACCTTCCCTGAGGGGCTCCATCTCAGCCCTAGGGGTAAGGGCTGCTCTTTACATGGGATCTTCCTATATTCTTTACAGTCTCTTTACTTACTTCCAATCCATTATTCAAATTCCCTGTTGTAATTACTAATTCTTTATGTTTAACTTCCCATATTCAAATTGCCGTGTGGCTTTTGGCTTCTGGTTGGATCCCAACTGACACCAACATGTAAGGAGAGGCCGCAGGGGCAGTCAGGATAGTAACACAGGCATGAACTGGGACAGCAGTGCTGGGCTAGAGACCAGAGACCCAGGTGAGAGAAGGTTTCTCAGGCAGAGCTGGCCAGTTCCCAACTCACAGCTACACAGAGAAGATTCTGGAAAAGGAGGTTCTTGGTTTCTTCCGCCACGCCCAGAGCTGAGAAGAAGGGTGGTCCTGAGACCAAGCTGACAATACACAGATCATTTCATCCTGGGCCGTGTCAAGTTGGAGGAGCCCTTGGGACGTCTAGGTGGCCGTATCCAGAGGGTGGAAATAGGTAGCAGAAAAGGGTAAGGGAGCAAGAAGACTTGCTGAGTGTGCGCGTGATCAGTTCACTAGGCTGTAGCGCCTCTTCCACTCAGGGGAAGCCCTCCCCCGCTCCCCCAAGAGCATCAGTCACGTGAAGAGACAGTACGCTTCCTGTGCTTCTTTATCTCCGATCCCCTTCTGCTGCTGGTTGTCATGCTGCTACATGCCCTGGACCCATCCTCTGACCCAGATTCGTCTTATCCTGCGCATTCCTCACTACCTCCCATGCCAAGGTCCCGCTCTCCTTCCCCAGAGAACCCCATGTCCCTAATGGGCTGGAGCAGACAGAGCAGGTGCTTTGCGCGTGAAAGATGCTCCTTCAATGTCACTTCCTGCTTCGATCAGTTAGAAGCCTCTTCACAGAGGGATGGGAAGACGCTCACATCTTGTGAGCTTGCCAAAGGGTTTCTGGCCTCAGGGTGAGATCTTTCTTTGAAGGATTTTCAAACAATAAACATAATAACAGAGGCCACAGATGGACTTTCCCTCTGACTATGGCAGGCTAGTTTGTATCAAACAAAAAAAAAAACCCAAAATCCTGGGTTTGTTTGTTTTTTCTTAAATCTGTTTGAATACATCAGAGAGCTCCTGGTGCGGTGAGGAGTGGGCCAACGGCTCCTGGGGAGAGAGGAAGTGCAGGAAGGGGACAGGGAGGTCTTCCGACAGTCTTGACGCACCTGCCAATTCACACACAGGGTGGAGGCGGAAGAAAACGTGGGGCAGCTTCCAGCAGACTCACAGCTTGCGCAACAAAAAGCAGAAGGTGAGGGCTCACCCTGAAGGAAGGATTCACCCTACAAGAGTTCTGGTTTCAAAAAGCTGTCTTTGTCTTTTTTTAAACAGGGTTTCAGTTGAAATCCCTGAAAGGGAAGTCAGGGCTAACCAGAAATGGACTGGGCCTCATGAGGACTGAAACCCAGGGTCAAATCTACAGGGTCAATCCTACTTTTCTCAGAAGCAAAAGTAAACCTCTCTCTAAAGGAATATCCAGAACTGGGAGCACCTGGGTGGCTCAGTCGGTTGAGCGGCCGACTTCAGCTCAGGTCATGATCTCACAGTTTGTGAGTCCAAACCCTGTGTCGGGCTCTGTGCTGATGGCCGGGATCCTGCTTCAGAGTCTGTGTCTCCCTCTCCCTCTCTGCCCCTCCCCCCAAATAAATATTAAAAAATGTTATTAAAAGAAAGGAATATCCAGAGTCCTGTATATCTCTTCAGCTGTTCATTTGCCAAAAAGAGTCTAGCATTCAATCCAAAAATACCAAGAAGACCAGAAGACCTACTGACCGAAAAGCAAATGAAAACCAGTCTAACAGAAGAACCAGAACCTGGAGTCAGCAAGCAAACGGAAGGAAAGAGCTGACAAGAAAATGGATCATTTCAGCTGAAAACTGTAACCTGTATTTTTAAAAAGTCAACTACAAATTTTCAGGACTGGATCCAAGGGTCGCTGAAATTAAGACCTCCGGGAAGAGGCTCAACAACCCAACTAGACACACCTGAGGGCGGGAGTAATGAAGTAGGACGTGTCGGTAGGAAACCTTGACATTGAAGCAGGAAGACCCAGAACATGAAACACTGAGAGCCACAAAGATGCAGCGAAAAGGTGTTCGCACACAGGTCGTTAGAGCCTCAGAAGGAGAAGACAGAGAGGAGGCTGGAGGCTACACTGAAAGAAGCCGTGTCAGAGATTCGAGGGGCACTGAGAGCCCCCCAGGAGGAGAAGCACAAAGGAAGCGACACCAGGAGACACTTACACACACCTGCGGAAGCCCAGAGCGGAGAGACAGTCCTCACCGCCACGGGACTGAGAGCCGACTCTGCAAACAGAACACAGTGAAAGCCAAGGACGTCTTCCAAAGTTCTAAAGAAAATTAACTGTAGTGCCCTAGGATTCTGGACAGACCAAAAATATCTTTCAAAATTCAAAACAACACAGAGGCTTTCTGGCCAACAAAAGCTCGATCTGTCACCAGAGGATCGGAAGCAAAATGCTAAAGGTTATTTCTAAATGCGCTCAGTACTATGCCATACTAAAGGCAAATGCCAAAGGTTCCTTCCAGGAAAAAGGGACTATTCATAAGGAAATGTGTAGAAATGCAAGCAGACACAAAAAGTAATACAGAGCTAACAAAGAAAGAATAATAGAAACTACACGTGTAGACAGATCGAAATGAATACTGGCGGCGTAAAGCATCGATAATAATGCCTGTTGTGGGGGCTCCAGGGTGGCTCAGTCCATGAAGCATTAGACTTTGGCCCAGGTCATGATCTTACGGTTCGTGGGTTCGAACCCTGCATTGGGCTCTGTGCTGACAGCTCAGAGCCTGGAGCCTGTTTCGGATTCTGTGTCTCTCTTTCTGCCTCTCCCTTGCTAACACGGTCTATAAATAAATAAATAAATAATGTTAAAACAAATTTAAAAAATAATAATGCCTGATGTGGTTTGAAATAGAGAGAAGTGGGGCGCCTGGGTGGTTCAGTTGGTTAGGTGTCCGACTTCGGCTCAGGTCATGATCTCATAGTTCACGGGTTCAAGCCCTGCATCAGGCCCTGTGTTGACGGCTTGGAGCCTGAAGCCTGCTTCCAATTCTGTGTCTCCCTCTCTCTTTTTCTTCCCCTCACCTGCTCATGCTGTTTCTCTCTCTCAAAAATAAATAAATAAATGTTAAAATATTTTTTAAAAATAATAAAATAGAGAGAAAGGCACCTGGCTGGCTCAGTCGGAGGAGCGTGTGACTCCTAGCCTTGAAGTCATGGGTTCGAGTCCCACATAGGGTGCAGATATTACTTAAATAGATAAAACTTTAAAATCAAATAAAATGCAGAGAAAACTGAAGCCCATGATATCAATGCACCACAGGCAGAACAGCGAAAAGGTCCTGAGGTCTGGATTGTCCACAAAGTGGCATAAGTTCACTTGGACTCGAAAAAGTCATGGACACATGCATCGCTGCAGTGACCACTCAAAACACAGACTTCAGATGTCCTAGGCTACTGGAGGAGATATTATGGGGGGAAATAACTCAATGCAAAAGGAGACAAAGAAAAAAAAAGGAAAAAATACAGAAAAAAAGAAACAATGGGAAATAAACCATAAGATGGTACGGGTCATCCAAATCTATCTAATACATCAGCAAATGCATTAGACACAGTGTAGGAAACACTCCAGTTAAAAAGCAGAGAACAGGGCTGCCTAGGTGGCTCAGTCGGTTAAGCATCCAACTTTGGCTCAGGTCATGATCTTGCAGTTCGCAAGTTTGAGCCCCACCTCAGGCTCTGAGCTGTCAGCACAGAGGCTGAAACCTGCTTTGGATTCTGTGTCTCCCTTTCTCTCTGCCCCACCCCTGCTTGTCCTCTCTCTGTCTCTCAAAAATAAATAAAAACATTAAAAAAACCAGAAAACAGATTTAAAATTTTTTAAAATGTTTATTTAGTTTTGAGAGAGAGAGAGAGAGAGCATGTGCACAAGTGGGGGAGGGGCAGAGAGAGAGGGAGACACAGAATCCAAAGCAGGTTCCAGGCTCTGAGCTGTCAGCATAGACGCAGCCTCAAACCCCCAAACTGAGAGATCATGACCTAGGCCAAAGTCGGACGCCTAACTGGCTGAGCCACCCAGGCGCCTCCAAATTCGTTTTTAATCACACATGCCCATAAGAGGGGCATCTTCAATATAGAGATGCAGATAAGGTGAAAGTAAAACGATGAACAAAGATATAGTGTGTAATCGCTAATCGAAAGAAAGCTAATGTACCAGACAAGGTAGATTCTAAGGCAATAATCTAATAGAGATAAGAAGGGACATTTCATAAAGATGAAAGGGTTTCAATTCATCTGGAAGTTGTAACAATTCTGTATTTGTAGGCATGTGATAACAGAGCAAAGCTTGTCGGAACTGAACTGAGAGATACGTTCACACAAAGACTTGCACGCAATCGTTCATGGCAGCATTGCTCACAGAAGCCAAAAAGTAGAAACAACCTGCCTGAAGAACAACGAACAGAACAGGATAGATCCGTGTCATGGAATATTATTCAGGAATAATAAGAAATTGATGATCAATAATAAAGAAAAAATCATGATACGCGCTCCAACACAGATGAATCTTGACAATATTGTGCTGATGTTAGAAAAGCCAGACACAAAAGGCTACATGGCGTATGATTCCATTTACATAAAATGTCAATAGGGGGAAAATCTAGGGACAGAACACAAATCAGTGGTTGTCAGGGCTGAAGAGGGGGGGGGTGGAGAGTGACTGCTAGCGGCGATGGGGGTTTTGGTGGGGGAGAGGGGGGAAGGTGATTAAAATGTTCAGGAATTAAACAGCGTAATGGTCATGCAATCCTGTGAATACGCTGAAAGCCACTGGATTGTATACTTTACAATGGTGAGTTCTAGGCTATGTGAATTCTATCCCAATTTTCTGAGACTATGAAATACAAAAATGTGCCAGGAGTAGAAGGAAAAACAGAACATCTACAATCGTGGTTGGAGGTTTTCCACTCTCAGTCACTCAGAGACGAGCCAACCCCAGTCAGTAAGGATACGGATGTGAACCGCCCAGGTCAAAGCCTGCACTAGTGCACTCGGGTAGCAACCAGGGCGGAGCATTTGAGAAATGCTGTCATTGACGGAGCCATGACTTTGGACCCCACTACGGACCAGACCTTGTACTTCCCATGCAACATCTCAGTTAATCTCCCTATCATCACACAGCCTATTATGGGTGAGGAATCTGGCCCAAAGTGACCAGAGAGGGTGAGCATCTGGCCCAAAGTGACCAGGTTGCTCTTAACCTCCCTGCTACACAGTCTCCAGGGACTGAAATTCAGAGAGACTTGACTAGAACCTTTATTCACATAAACACAGCCCAGGGTGCTGGAGTAACTGCCGTCTGACACAGACTGAATAGACATGAACTGTTAATGACCTACTACATCAACAAATACAGACACTGGGCACCTACTGTATAGAAGACATAGTGAGAGATCAAAAGAAAAAAATAGCAACAATTTATTGTGCTCTGACTCAAACTTGCAACTCAAAGCTGCAAGTACTTTACATTCTTTACAAGACCTCATCTTCACCAGACCTGGCAGGTAGCTGCGCTAAGTCCTCATTCCACACAGCAGGAGTGACACCTGAGGACGGGAAGGGCCATCCGTTCGAGAACCATTGGGAGGAGCGGAACCTGGATGTGAGGACTCTGGAATCCAAGCTCTGAGCCACTCCCTCCGCTCCCACTTCGCGACACGACACCACCGGCACCGTCTCCATCCTCAACACAGAGCCATAAAGCAGGGCGCGTGTCCATGCACGGGGTCTGCTCTTTGCATGACCGAGATCGCAGCATTTTCTAGAGGAGAGCCAGTGGCGAAGGCCAAGAAAGTACCTGGGGTCACACCTGAATGCTCCGCCCACCAGGGGAGACCACCAGACACCGGAGAGAGGAAAAGGCAGGAACAAACACCACAAGGCGGGGGGGGGGGGGGGGGGGGGGGGGGGGGGGGGGGGGGGGGGGGGGGGGGAGGGGGGTCTGTACGTAAGCCCTAAGATGGAAAGTCTGCTGTTTGGTCATTTAACATGGACACTTTTATCCCGTTGCTATACTTCCTGGGGTGTCACGGTTGGATGATAAATACGGGCTTCTACGGAGTCCATTCACAGCCCACATTCCGTCTACGATTGCCTTCGTGAGGTACTCTGATCAAGCCCAGCCGCCCTCAGAGCTGGCTAAAGAGAAATGCCTAAGGCAGCCACTTCGCAGGGTGGGTCTATGTACACGACTTGTTTTCTCTGGGCCCTGAGAAAGCAGACAGTCAGACTGGCCTCTTACACAGCGTGTCACCCACAGGATTACATTTCGTGTTCACCAGATCCATGTATAAAGGAGGAAACTGACACTCAAAAGAGGTTAAGAGACCCGGCCAAGGCCGTGCTTCTAAGGAAGCAGCATATCTGGGATGAGACTCCAGGTCTCCTCCTAACGAGGCCTGTGTTCTGTGCGAAGGCCCAACGGGTCTGGGACACCTCAGTCATGTAAGGCTGGAGGACCCTTCTCTATGTGGATAAAGGCATAACACAGGCCCAAGGTGAGACTGGAACAGAAAAAGCGATAACTACAGCTTTGGAAGGGCAGCTAAGAATCATCCAACCTACCCATTATATATTCATTTATATAAAGATGAGTAAACTGGGGACTGGCCAGAAGTCACACAGTTAGAAATGTCAGCAGCAGGACCAGAGCCCAGGTCTCTGCCAGCCTCATCATTCAACTGAGTAGAGAGAGTAAGGTGCAGAGAGGCTCCTATAGAAATGACAAAGCCCACAATCCACTAGGTTGGGCTTAACCCTTAGCAGGTCTAGTCCATGCACAAAAATTATAAGGTGAGAATTCTGCCCTTCAGAAATTGAGTCTAGCTAGAAAAACATGCACAGGAAAACAGAGTTGATAACGTAAAACATCAATCAAGGCAGCAGCTACATTAAGAATTTAAAGGAGGCAGAGAAGCAGGGCATGTTGTATGTTGAAAGGCTTCCTGAAGGAGAAGTAAGTAAAGCTGGGCTTTGAAGCATGCCTAGGAGTTCAAAGGATGTGATGGAGTAGGTACATTAGTCCAGGAAAGAGTTTCAACTTATGGAGAAGTTTTGTGGGAGATGAAGCCAAAATCACAGGTGAGGGCTGGGTCCTGGAGGCTGCAGAGCCTTTAAATGCCAGCCCAGGTCTTTTGGATTTGGGCCTGTGGAATAATTGGTCTTCAAACTTGCTCAGGAGCAGAGAATCCTAACCTCTTCATGGAACCCCATGAGTGACAGGTTAGCAGCAGAAAACAAGACTGAGGCTCTCGGTCTGGAGTATAAAACCATAATCACAGATATGCATGGCCTTTAAACGAAATACATCCTCAAATCAGACAGAATCAATCTTTCCGGAAGAGTCCCATTATCAGTTATGTGCCACTGGTTTCTTTCTTCTGCCTCCTAGAAGTCTCTGTGCCAGCAGACCAGACGGGGCCACTGTCGGTCATAAAACACAGGGCACGAGAAACTTACAAATGGAGACCGTTCTGAGGATTTACTTCCTGCAGATTAGGAATTCTAGAAGCCCAAGACAATGCTACAAAGAGCAAAATCCTCTCTGAGGCTCAGTTTTCCCGTCTGACATGAAGGAGCTGAGGATGGGACCATCCCGAGACCAAGCTTTGCACACATGGCTGGCCCAGCAGGGCCATGTTCACATTTTCTGGGCTCTCCAGACAATGAAAGGCATGGGAGAGTGACCTTCCATCCACGCCCATGGTTCTAAGCAGCACAGAAGCTAGTGTGGCGCGGGCTCAGCTTCTGAAAAGGCCAGGGGTCAGCATGGGATGTGGACCGGCATTTCCGTGCAAAGTCCTGGCGTGAGCACGATACCCACACTCTGACGTGACTGACAGTCTTCCGAGTGCTCCCCGATGCTTCTCTCCTCACCTGGGGCACACCTTCAGCCACCTGGCGCTCCTGAGCCTTCCTGAGGACCTTCAGTCTTGCAGGAAGCTGAGGACCTTCCTCCCAAGGTCACCTGGCCAGGAATGGGCAGCACCCAGTACCCAGGATGTGGGCTTCTATGAGCTGGCAAGGGCAGGGAATCCTTGGAGAGTCTGTGTGTCGTGTCCCCACTGCCTGGGGGAGCTGTGAGGTCACCAGGAGCCGGATATAATAGCCGCCAAATACCGCCAACAGCTGCTGGGCCATTTCCTGGAAGAGGCAGGGACACAGAGTGAAGGCCACAGAGAAGCATCTGATGTCTGAGGGGAAAGCCAAGGGGTCCTCACAGCCCTGGACCAGCAGTGATGTGCCCTGGGAGGAGCCCCGCCAGGCCCTCACCTGGGGCTCTAGGGGGATGCCTGGCCTGGTCTGGAACCCCAGCTCTGCAGCTCACCCCATGGGGCTCCTGTAGCCTCAGCTTCCTTACCTCCACGGTGGGTGACCTAATTGAGCAAAAGAGCTCTGGAGTGCCAGACGGCTAGAAATGTTACCACTGATTTATAGCAACCAATCTCTCACACACACACACACACACACTGGTTCCAGTTTCGAATGTTGGTGAGACTATAAAGCACATGAGGTCAGAGTAATGCACTTGAAAACCATAAGCAAATGGAGAGGGGGTAAGGGGGTCATCCCCATGATGGCAGGATTCAATTCCTACAGGGCACCTGCTGGCTCTCTTTAGACAAGTATTCCTACCACATGAAGAGGTTGTTTTTAAAAAGCAGACTTACCACAAAAAGACAAAGACTTATATGAGGCATGAGGAGTAGTGAATTCATAGAGACAGAAAGTAGCTCGGTGATTTCCAGGGCCTGGGGAAAGGGGGGAGAGGGGGAGTTTGCGTTTCATGGGTATGGAGTTTCGGTTGGGGAAGATGAAAAAGTTCTGGAGATGCTTAACGGTGTTGGTTACGCAACAGTGCGAAGGTACTTAACGCCCCTGAATTGTACACTTAAAACTGGTTAAGGGGGCAAAATTTTCTATTATGTATATACACACATATATATTTCTATTTCTATTTTCCGTAATGAAAAAAATTTAAGCAGTATAAAAGGAAAAATAAAGAATGAAAAAAATTGGATTTAATGCATGCTCTTATGAACGCATTTGTCTTCAAAGTTCCATTCACTGGACTGGCAGGTGGGAAATGCTTTGGTGCCCTAGGTGGGGTAGTGAGGGGTTACGCAGTCCCCATGGGCGGTCCGCGTGTAATAAAGTAAGGTGCGGGTCACATCAAGGCTGTTCGTGTCTGTAGAGTTAGTGATTAAGAACAGGCTTTCAAACCAAAAGGGCTGGGTGGGAATTTGAGCTTAGTCCTCTACGATGGACCCTGAACAAGTCACTCTGCCTTGCTGACCCTTTGCTTAAATAGGAAAAGAGGTAAAATCACAGCACCTATTTGGGAGAGCTCGAGTGAGGATTAAATGGACTAATCAATAGCCCCCCACCTAGTGTTCCTGATGTTTCCTTTGAGTTATCCTTGGTGCTAGAAAATACTGAAAACCTCAACAGTCTACCGCTCCCTGACTGAGACTTGTCACATCGCCAATCTACTCTAAAATCAACAGCGTAAGGAGCAAAGAACCGTGGCAAGAAAATTGTACTTAGAATGAGGAGGGCTGGCTTCCGCCCTTGGCTCAGCCACATCCTCCCTCGCTCAGTGACCCGGGGCAAGTCAGATGACCTCTCGGAAGCCCATTTCACCCAGCCAGGAAGAAGGAAAAAGAATCCATACCTCACAGGGTATGCTAAAGGGTTTTATGCATAATAAGAAATCTGTTAAAATGGAAGAGGTGATTATAACTATTTCTCCATCTTTCACAGGCACTGGTTTCCTACTGAAATATGACGGTCCATCTGGCCCATGCTGAGGCTTGCAGTGATTATATTTTCCCCAGCTAAGTTATAAAGGGCATCTACTTTAAAAACATGTGCACACACGCTTGATATTCATGACGGGAAATTGTATTACCGCTGGTTTGAATGAATTTGAAAAAATAATTTGAAAGACCCATCAGATTTAACAGGCTATGTCACATAAACCCAGGCATGCCTCAGTAAAGTATGTGACCTTATCAATCTTTTCTGCTCTAAAAAAAAAAAAAAAAAAAAAAAAAAAAGTCAACGGGATTCAAGTGAAGAGATTAATATATTTATCATTTTCTCTCTTGATGAGTCCCGTTTGCTGGTCCCCTTTCTCCCCACCAACACGAAAGGGAAAGTCTGACTGGTTGGCACCTTTAATCCCTAAGTCTGTTGGCTGAAAAGAAAATTCAGGTGCTTCCTTGCCTCATAGCATGGCTGAGGTCACCCTCTCTGCATGTCTCCCAGCCAGGAGGTCCGACCTCGTGGAAGACACAAGCTGAAAACCACACCATCAGATTTCTGGTCTACCCGCGCCTGGTCATACCAACCAGAGAGCTTGGGTGGCAGGGCCCAGCAGAACTCGGGCATCAACAGAGATGCCTATAAGATTTATACATGCAACTGCAATTTAAGTAAATGGATGGGTAGATGACACACTGATTGAAAAATAAATATAAAAAGTGACCCAAATACTCATCAACATGTTTATGGCTAGTTGGCTATGACCAGCCCATCACTACACAACAACCAGACATCCCGGAGAACTACCAAAAAGAATATCCAAGATGTTAAAAAATGGGGGGAAAACCCAGTAAGTAGAACATGATTCCTATAAGCTATTTTTTAAAATGTTAGAGTAAAGAGAGACACCTGGGTGGCTCAGTCAGTTAAGCATCTGACTTCAGCTCAGGTCATGATCTCATGGTTCGTGGGTTCAAGCCCTGCATCGGGCTCTCTGCTGTCAGCACAGAGCCTGCTTTGGATCCTCTGTTCCCCTCTCTCTCTGCCCCTCCCCCACGTGTGTATTCTCTCTCTTTCTCTCTCTCAAAAAAATAAAGTTAAAAAAATAAAATGCTAGAGTAAGGAAAAAATATATTGAAAACCAGTTAGCTAGAAGGTACGTATGGCCTCTACCAACTCAGTGAAGCCACGTTCCCTGGGGTTTACAACTTGAAGCCCCACATGGACTCCGCACAAATATGCTGTGAGGGACGGTGGCCCTGACCAGCCCACGGGCCCCTTACCTCTGGCTCAGCCTCAGGCACGAGCTGGCGAAGCTCAGTCTGCAGGAGCGGCCTCTCCCCAGGATGAGGATCGCCGGGCAGGAGGGGAGCTTCCTCCAACAGGTCCTCAGGCCCCTCTGCGGTCTCGGGGCTCACTCCAGTTTCCATGACAACACACAGCTGGCTCAGCCTGCTTCTCAGCAAGGACTGCAGGAGAGAGAGAGACAGGGCTTGGATGATGCCCGGAGGTGGGTAGTACACAGGAGGCTGGGTACAGACCCCACAGAGGATGGAAGGTCAGACTCAGATGCTGACCTCAGGGGTATCCAGAACTGAGCCACATTCAAGAGGTCAGATAATTACCTACAAAGTTCCCTACAGTCTTTAACAGCTCCTAAAGCACTTTGTGTTCCATGCTCTCATTTGCTCTTTGAAGCAGCCTGAGTCACGGGCATGTTTACCCATATGCGGCAGAGGAGCCAAGTGCAGCCCAAAGGCCTTGCCCAAAGCATACAGGGGCGAGCAGACTGCGAGCAGGCTACACCACAGTCCTGACTTCACGACCCCCTCTCCAGCACTGCCAGGGCCCCCCAGAAAGGCCGATCCCAGGGAAGGAGCCCAGGGCTCAGAGATGGGAAGGCTGCGCTCCCAAGTGGGCATCGCAACCAGCCCCCTGACCACATTCAGGCAGTGACAGGCCTTCCCAGAGCCTCAGTTTCCTCAGGGGTGAGATCCGAGTAAGAGTGCCCTGATCATATGATAGGAAGGCACTTTGAACATGGGAAAGTCGTCTAAATACCCGGGACTTTGCCAGAATCTTTATTAGTATTATTATTATTACCATGGATTGTTACTCTAAACACTATATTATTGATAAGTAAATATGCTCACTCTAGGAAATGCAGTAAGTGCAATCAGTTGAAAAGCAGACTAATTGTAATCTAGTTAAAAAGTAATAATTTCCTGGGCAAAAACAACCATCAATGCCACATGGTGTTCTTCCTTCCAAGTAACTTTTCCTTAGGCGATTTTCCAACGCTGAGGAAATGCAATCCATGCAACGTGGCCTCCTCGTTTGTGTGTGTGTGTGTGTGTGTGTGTGTGTGTTTGTGTTTTCACTTGAAGTCTCTTACCTCTTGGCTAGTCTTCATCTCTTGAAGGTGGTCAGACAAAAACTGCACACAGTTCTCCAGGTCAAAGTAGACAAACCAGAGCTGGGGAGAGAAGCCATGACCGCTGAGGCTCAAAGCCAGCCCGACCTTGAACTCTCCACCCCTGACACCGTCTTCCACCTCCCGCCTCCTTGCCAGAGGACAAGCAAATTGAAGCTGGTCTCTGGCGGGAACATGCCATTCTGCTCTTTCCTCAGGTATAGTGAAGCCTCCTTTGAACAGCTAGGAGAAAGATGGCTTTGGGTGCACATTTGGAAAATGTCAAACCCTGTTCAAAACGGCAGCAGCTCCATTTCCTACAAGTCACTGAGCATCCCAGAAGAGTGCCGAAGCATCCTCGACACCATGTCTCCAACTGGGGTCCCCACCTTCACCTTCAGGGACTGGGGTGCCCTGCTGCCTGGAACCTCACGTGCAAAGGAGGTGAAACCCTTCAGTCATCCACCCGCCCTGCTCAAGGACAGGCAGGAGGAAATCAAACCGGGGTGCTCTGAGAGGAGGGGGGAGGGGTAACAAGTTACTTCACCATTACCTCCCCTTCCACCTCAGCCTCAACAGTTCCCAGAAGGTCAGCCGGGCTGAAACCCTCCAAGTTCACTTAACGACATCTCGTCGGGTCCCCACCTGCCATACATCACAACTGAAGTTCTGCAAGAAGCTGGTAGTCCCCGCCTCATGCCTCCAGCCACCGACTCCTTCCTCTGGATCCCAGACCTCCCTCCTCTCAGTGGCTGACCCATGAGGCCCAAGGTCATGTCATCCTGCCAACTAGTCTCTCCCACTGCCTTAGCCCCAAGGGAAGCTTTTTAAGATGAATTTCTTTTTTGCCTTTATTATGAAAATTTCCAAACAGATACAAAGGTGGAGCAAATGATGGGGCACCTGGGTAGTTCAGTGGGTTAAGCCTCTGACTTTGGCTCAGGTCATGATCATATGGTTTGTGAGTTCTAGCCCTGCAGCAGGCTCTGTGCTGATAGCTCTGAACCTGGAGCCTGCTTCAGGTTCTGTATCTCCCTCTCTCTCTGCCCGTGCCTGATTCATACTCTCTCTCTTTCAAAATAAGTAAACATTACAAACAAAAAATTTTTAATGAAATAATTAACTTCCAGCTGCCCATCATCTTGGGTGGGTCAATGGTTCTCAGTTTACGCCTACTCTTTTTTTTTTTAATGTTTTATTTATTTATTTGAGACAGAGAAAGCACAAGAGGGGGAGGGGCATAGAGAGGGAGAGAGAGAAAATCCTAAGCAGGCTCTGAGCTGTCAGGTCAGAGCCTGATGTGGGGCTCGATCTCATGAACTGTGAGATCATGACCTGAGCCAAAATCCTGAGTTGGACACTTGGCCAGTGGAGCCACTCAGGCGCCCCAGTTCATGGCTACACTTGTTTTATCTTTATCCCCATCCATTACTCACCAAAGACTCTTCCCCCCCCACCCCTCCCCATCCCCAAAGATGTCAAAGAAAATCCAAGATATTGTATCAGCTCATCCTAAAATATCACAGTACTTTGAAACTGGAATTGTTGTTTAAATTATTTATTTTAAAAGATGTCCCCAATTACTTTAAAAGATGTGTCTCTTTATTACTCATCTGTCCTTGCATTCAGCTAACACTTGCCAAGTCACTCCTACATGCCCGTCTAAGAGGATTCACGGACAAACTGAAGCCCCCCAGATTCCAGGAGCTCCCAGTCTATGACATCACACTTGAACTGCCCAAAATCCTGGGATATCCCTGAGTTCACCACCACCCTCCACCTGCTGTCAGGCAAGAGCCCCTCGTGTCCTACAGCATCTCACATGTGCTGGGCCTTGACGCAGGGATCCGCGCATGTCCGTTCTCTGCTGCAGCCTCAGGACCGGAACAGGGCCTGGCCCCGACTAGGCGCTCAATAAACACTCATGTGCCCAAGGAGCTTCTTTCCGGGTCCCGCCCTGACGCCCACCCCTGAGCTCCAACCAGGCGAGGGGGACCAGTGAGAACGCAGTCCCACCGGGCAAAGGCCAGCCAGATGAGGAGACCCGGGCCCCTGCTATGTCCCAGACCCACTGTGTGGCCTCTTCCTAGTCACTTAAGATCTCCCCAGGGCACTTGGGACAAAGAAAATGACGAAGCCAAGTGGACAAGGCCTCGGGGTCTGACCTGCCTCTCCAGGAACCGTGCATGGGCCCCTTAGTGCCCGTCAGGGGCCTGGCATACAGGAGCCCCCCTCTGTTTGCTGAATAAATGCTGAGTGAGGAGCGTGGCTGAGAAAGTCCTGCCCCGAGCAGGTTCTAGGCTGCAGGCCGCCACCCAGAGGCGAGTCTCCGGGACCAAGTACAGGAGTGAGGATGAAGGGAAGGGAGCCCACGCGTATCTCGTTAGCAGACTCTGAGACACCGTGCAGGCCGGGGGAACACGGGGCCCCGCCCCCATCAACCCAGCCCTCACGCGGCCCCCTAGCAGAGGTCGCTGCCAGACACGGTACCTGAATCACACTCTGGCAGCCTTCCACCGTGTCCGTCACGCCCAGCAGTACCCGGTGCCTCAGGAGGGCTCCGTTGGCGGCCGCCAGCCTAAGGTCCGTGTTGGCGTTGGCCTAGAAGACGAACGCCAGCCCCGTGGTCAGGTCTCCACGCTGCCAGGGAGCTCTCGCGCCCTCAACAACACCCGCCTCTAGACACCATGGGGGGCACATCCATTGCCTCCCCTATAAAATGGGGACAGCAGGTGTTGGGTCAATAAATTCAGTAGCGTCAGACAGCTCTGGGTGGTAGCCCAGGCCTGCTACTGCCCAGCTGTGTGGCCCCGGAGGAGTGCCGCTCCTTCCCTGAATCGAAGAGTAAGGATAGTGTCCCTGTCCCCTCGGAACATGGCGTGACTGAACTGGGACTGTGGGTGTGGAGCACTTAATCCAGTGCCTAGGACACCGGCCGCTGTGCTGACAAAGCACCTGCAGCCAACGGGGTAGGTGGGTTTGAGCGCTTATTGCGAAGAGTGCCCGGCCCTCTGAAGGGGACTCTGGGATCCCATCTCCGTCCTTCCCTACCCAAACCAATCCGGCACCGCGGATCTAGGTGACTAAGTAGATGTTAAGCAGGCTGGGGGAGGGGAGAGGAGGAGGAAGAAACCTGTCAAGACCAAACTGCTGGTTTGAGGAAGAGACTCCCTAAGGATTTAGAGACACAACCAGATGACAGCCCAATGGAGGACAATCAGGGTCCCCAGGAGTGTGAGGACTCCCTTAGAGAGCTTTTGGAAATGTGAGAAGGCCTCTTGGTTGTCTCAGGGATGGTAGGGGCCATGCTGGCACTTAGGGACAAGGACTGGGGATGCCTTCCACTGATGACAGAGTCCCACGGGAGACAATCCCGCATTCGGAAGAGGGGGCTCTGGCCTAACCAAACTCCACACTCCCCACCAGGTGTGAACACAGGTGAACAAGCTACTTGTAATTCTGACCAGCAGACTGAGCTCTATGTGATATGTAACCTTATGGTGTTGTTTTCTTTTTTTTTAATTTATGTTTATTTATTTTGGGAGAAAGAGAGCAAGTGGGGGAGGGGCAGAGAGAGAGAGGAAGAGACAGAGTCCCAAGCAGGCTCCGGGCTGTCAGCACAGAGCACAATCTGGGGCTCAAACTCAAACCATGAGATCCTGACCTGAGCCAAAATCAAGAGTCAGATGCTTAGCCAACTGAGCTGCCCAGACCCCTTACGTTGCTTTCTTTTTTAAATGGGTCTAAAATATACTGAATTTTCCAGGAATGCTTCGACTATGAAAATGTGGGGTGATTATACTTTGTTTTGCCTGGAGTGTTAGTAAGGGTTATTCACCCTAACCTGTATCACCAAAAATTCTAATCCTGTCTCTGTCTCTCAGCACCTGTACAACCTTGGGCAAATTACTCCCCACCTCCCTGCCTCTACTTCCTCACCTCCAAAAGTGGAGATGGGGCACCTGGGTGGCTCAGTCGGTTAAACGTCTGACTTCGGCTCAGGGCCACCTGCTTTACTCTGCCCAGGATGCCAGGCAGTGTCACGCGTGCCTTCACAGACCTCCCAATCTTGAGAAAGGCTAATAATGCCCCAAACAAGGCGGAAACAAGGCAGTGTGTGCAAACGCTCAGCTCTCAAAGCTGCTACCTTACAAGACCCTAACAGGAAGAGGGACAAATGATGGCCCGGAAGGGGGAGCTGCGTGGCCCTGAGTGCTGAGGGATCCAAGGAGAAAGGAATCCTTGGGCTGAGGCAAGACCTCAGGAGCCTGTGTGACCGCAGACTGGTTACTCCACCTCTCTGAGCTTCGGCTTCCCCACTGAACATGTGAATTATATTAGGTACTATTAGAAGCACTTTGCGTATGTGAACACACTTAATTCTCCCAAAAATCTTCTGAGGGAGCTACTGTTATTTTTTAACATAATCTCTGTGCCCAAAGTGGGGCTTGAAGGCACGACCCTGAGATCAAGAGTTGCATGCTCTACTAACCAAGCCAGCCAGGTGCCCCATGGGAGCTACAATTATTATCCCATTTTACACATGAGAAACTAAGGCCCTGAGAGGCAAAGTAATAACTTACCACCGGCTGCAGAGCTAGCTAACAGCAGAGATATCCTGCCACCCCATACGCTTGGCGGGCGTAGACAGCAAGTGCCAAACACAGAGCACACAGGAGGTGGTCATTATGAGGAGTGAAGGAACCTGGCTGAGCAAACACTGATGCCAGGAGGGCCACCTCCCACCTGGGGCCCGCATGCTGGCCTTACTCATCTCTGTGCCCTGTGCCGAGCATACTGCCTCCTACCTGCAGGGGCTGAAGTACAGCTGAACGAGGCAAGAAGGGAGAGAAGGCTGACAGCCACCGCGGGCATCCTCTAAACTGCACGAATTACATCTGCACCCTCGAAGCACCTGCTGGCTGCCAGGTGTTTCACTGGCTCTTGCTAAGGTGAAATGGTCTACTTTGTCTGCTCCCCAAGTGAACTTTCTTGCGGCAGGAGCAGCCAGTTCGATGTCTGTTTTATGTGCCAAGCACAAGAGTCACTAAAGCTTCAACAGAGCCCAAGGGCAGCACTACTTTGTCAGTCTTGTCGCACAGCCCAACAGCGAGCTTCTCAGGATGATTAAGCCATAGAGTTCCTGTTCGTCCCTGTGAGCACAGGAATGAAATGGAGTTCACACCCCAAACTCTGACCACATTTCCCAGCATCCCTCTCCTCCCAAGTCAGGCAAGGATGGGTCTCCGAGTGCAAGACTGTGCCAGGTCCTGGTGAGGTGGAGGGAGCTTCTTAGAGCAGCTGGAGAGACAGTGGAGGTGTGCTTGGGGGAGGAATGGCCCCCAGCAGTGCCAGAGTCCTACTCCCCAGAGTCTGTGAGTACATAGCGGCAAGGGGGCATTAAGGCAGCAGACAGAATTAACGCTGCTAATTAGCAGACCTTTAAAAAGGGAGACTGTCCCAGATAATCCTGGCAGCTCAATGTAATCACAAGAAGCCTTAAAAGCAGAAGAAGGAGGGGCGCCTAGGTGGCTCAGTCACTTAAGCGTCCAACTTTGGCTCAGGTCATGATCTCACAGTTTGTGAGTTCGAGGCCGGCATCAGGCTCTGTGCTGACAGCTCAGAGCCTGGAGCCTGCTTCAGATTCTGTGTCTCCCTCTCTCTCTGCCCCTCCCTCACTCATGCTCAGTCTCTCTCTCTCTCTCTCTCTCTCTCTCTCAAAAATAAACACTTAAAAATAAAAAAATAAATAAAAATGAAAGTGGAAGAAGGAGCCAAAAGACTCAAAGTTATTTGGAAAATGGACAAAGGGGTTATTGGCCAAAGAATGCAGGTGGCCCCAGGAGTTAGAAAAGGCAGATGATTCATGATCCCCTAAAGGCTCCAGAACGGATGCAGCCCTGAAGTCCAGAACTATGAGGTAATACATTGTGTCGTTTGAAGCCACAAGGACAGGCAGCCACAGAGCGCCGACGCAGCAGGGTGCTGACTGAGAACAGGGCTTGGAATCTCAGCACTCCGGCCTTGAACCCCAGCTCGGCCATTTATTAGTGTGGAAGGGCTCCGTAAACCCCAAAAGCTCTCCTCCCCCGTTCCAGACGCTCTCAGCACACTGCTCACTTCTAGGACAACAACGCACAGGGATTAGATAGGAAAGACAGAGAGGGTCTGATCACACATGTGATTTCCTTTCTTTCAGTCACTGGACACAGGGGCCCGCATGCATGTTCATGGTTGGAGAAGTCCTCTGAGGCGGGGAAAAGAGGAAGATCGGACCTGGCATGGACCTGCCGACACACCCTTTCTGGAGGGAGCGTGGCGGGGGGCTCGGGACATCTCACCTTCCTCTGATGTTTCTCGAAGATGAGCACGAGGGTCAGGGTCAGGCTCATGGCAGCCAGGGTCACAAGCAGCACACCTACCCAGTGGTTCCCCAGGGCAAACATCTGGCTGGTGGAGTAGATGTTAGCCCACACCACCACATAGAACACCTGCGAGAAGCCAGAGAAAGAGCGTGGTCAGGAACTCCAGTCCTGGAGTAAAGCACCTCCATTCAAAGGGAAGCACTCTTTTGGACATGTCTGATGCCCTCCTTGGAGCCAAAGAGCTCACACGGCCAGGAAGGGACTGATCGGGGTCTGTGAGAAGGAGCCCTTGTTCCCCAACCATAAGCAACAGTAGGGAAAAGAGGTTAGGAGAGCAACTATGAGGCACCTGGGTGGCTCAGTGGGTTAAGTGTATGACTCTTGATTTCGCCTCAGGTCATGATCTCATAGGTCATGAGTTCAAGCCACGGGTCCGGGTCCACCCTGACAGTGTGGAGCCTGCTTGGAATTCCGTCTCCCTCTCTCTCTCTCTTTCCTTCCCCTGCTTTCTCTCTCACACTCAAAATAAATAAAAATAAATTAAAAAAATAAAAAGACAGCAACTCTGAATCCTTGCTCACCTGCCTTTTATTTTTGATTTATTTTTGATTTTTTTAAAAATATTATATCAAGTTAGTTAACATATACTATAATAATGGTTTCAGTAGAATCTAGTGATTCAACACTTACACATAATACCCAGTGCTCATCCCAACAAGTGTCCTCCTTAATGCCCATCACCCATTTAGCCCATCCCCCCACCCAACACCTTACCACCAACCCTCAGTTTGTTCTCTGTATTTAAGAGTCTCTTATGGTTTGTCTCCCTCTGTTTTTACCTTATTTTTGCTTTCTTTCCCCTATGTTCATCTGTTTTGTTTCTTAAAATCCACATATGAGTGAAATCATATATTGGTCTTTCTTCTGACTTATTTCACTTAGTTCCATTCATGTTGCTGCAAATGGCAAGACTTCATTCTATTTCACCACCAAGTAATATTATATTGTGTGTGTGTGTGTGTATATATATATATATATATATATATATATATATATACCACATCTTCTGTATCCAGTCATGAGTTGATAGACATTTGGGCTTTTTCCATACTTTGGCTGTTGTCAATAGCGCTGCTATAAACATTGGGTCACCCAGATTTTAAATAAAGCAGGAAAGGGTGGGAGGCCTGGGAGTGAGATAATTTGAGTCAGAAGTCCACAACGATCCTTCAACAGCTATGGATGGCCTTGGACAAGTTATCAACAACACACTGAGCCTCAGTTTCCTCGCCTGTAAAATGGGGATAATACCTACTTCACAGGTTGTTATAAGGGTTAATCAGACAACATACATAACAGCTCAACACTTGTTAAAGAATTAACAAATGTCAGTGATCATCCCTTTCCTTTTTCTAGAAGTAGATGTGAGAGTCAAGAGTACCATTTGCTGGGGCACCTGCTGGCTCAGTCAGCTGAGCATCTGGCTTCGGCTCAGGTCATAATCTTGAGGTTCATCGGTTTGAGCCCCACGTCAAGCTCTGTGCTGACAGCACAGATTCTGTGTTGATTCTGATTCTGTGTCTCCCTCTCTCTCTGCCCCTCCTCCGCTCACTCTGTCTCTCAGTCTCAAAAAAAAAAAAAGAATAAACATTAAAAAAAATTTAAAGAGTCTATTTGACCATTTACATATACAGAGAAGTGGCAAATCAGAGTGGCTAAGAGCACAGGTGCTGAAACCACATTGCCTGGGTTCAAGTACTGATTTGGCCACATATGCCTGTGTGTGTGTGTGTGTGTGTGTGTGTGTGTGTACACGGACATTTATACATATGTGTCTTCATGAATGTACACACACACACACACACACACACACACACACACACACACACACGTTTATAGACACTCATGTATTTATAATGAGAGCTGGAATGGACCTACCTGTTGAACAGACGGGGAAACCAAGTCCCAGAGAGAAAACAAGTCACTTTTTTTTTTAGCATTTTATTTATTTTTGAGAGACAGAAAAAGTCAGAGTGCAAGCAGGGGAGGGGCAGAGAGAGAGGGAGACACAGAACCCGAAGCGGGCTCCAGGCTCTGAGCTGTCAGCACAGAGCCCGACGTGGGGTCATGACCTGAGCCGAAGTCGGACGCCCCTCAGAGGAAGACAAGTCCTAACCAAAGCCGGACACGGAGTCCAGCGGCTCAGTGGTGGGTCTGCAGAGTCCCCGCCCCAAGCCCTGCCCTTAGCAAACCCTGCCTCTGGCCTTTCCCTGGGGATCCGTCACAACTCTCTCCCGTGCATCTCCTCTTACACCAAACCCAGGTCCACGTGTACCGCTCTATCCCAGGCGGCCGGGCTGCCCCAAACCCCTTACCCACAGCAGCAGGCTCCAGAGCACAGTGCCCGTATTCAGCAGGGAGAGGGGGCGGGCAGGGTCGGTGTGCAGCCCCTCCCTCCTTACCACAGCGAAGGCCAGCCGCATGGGCCTGGAGTTGTAGATGATGTACCGCCTCACTTGGGGCTCCAAGAGGGCGCTTTCGGCCAGGCTTCTGTACTGGTCGGCGGGGACCTGCGTGGCCGTGCAAGGGGAAGAGACCAATCAGCCACCGAGAGCCACTCCCACCTCCTTCCTGCACGCAAGCATGGCGTTTCCAGCTCATGGGACTATCATGTGGGAGGGGTTCAGGCACCTCCTAGGCTGCCCCGGAAGGCGGCCTGAGGGGCTCGGAGCCCTCGGAGCGGTAATCACAGAATGCAGCCCTCAGCTCAGGAAAGGACGGGCGCCCCTGGGGAGGTGGGGTAACTCGAGACCCAGGAGGACGTCCTGGGGGGGCTGGGGAGGACTTAGGACTTGCAGCCCAAGGCTCAGGACCTCGCTGCCGACCCAGGAGAGCCTAACAGTGAAGGCACAGGCCCTAGAGTCAGTAGGCTGGGTCCCAACCTCAGCCCTTCCATTCCCATGCCAAGTAGCCCACTTCTCTGAGCCTCAGCTGGCTCATCTGTAAAGTGCAGGTAACAAGAATATGCACTTGTAGGGTGGTGTGCATAAGAAATGACATGACACATATGCAATACTAGCCTGTGTGTTATAAAATAAGTATACAAATACCATGTATATATACATACAGACATTTCTGGGGGTCCTCTGTTATTACTTTGACAGATGTGTGTGCATGTGTACACTGGCCCAGTGCGGGTCCATACTGAACGCCTGACACACAGGAGCCAGCACAGCACTGCAACACCAATTACTATAAATACAGCCCAGGGTACCAAAAATTCACATCTTCCTGCCCAAACGAAAAAACGGCATAGCACATAACAGGCCTGTGAGAGTGGGCTGCTCAGGACAACAGAAATGAACCATTGAAGATGATATTGCGGAACATGCTAGAATAATACATAGACTGTTTTCCTCGGTTAAGAAAACCCCCATCTGAAGACAACCACTGAAGAAAAATGTTCTTTTGTACAAAGGCTGACGGGAAACGTGGTGTGATAAACCAGCCATTGTGCGGACGCGGGTTTAGTACCATCGACGTGGAAAGTTTCCCTTCAAATGATAAAATGCTGATTTAAACAATAACGCAATTCAGTCTGAAAGAAGTAAACTCTAAAGTCTTCAGGGCAAAACGAGCAGTGCATCTTTCCTGTCCAGGCTCAGTCCGCCATAGACAGTGTGGGGGATCGCCTGGGGAGCCTGGGGGCTCGGGAAGAGAGAAAGACAGGCCTCGGGTACTTTGTAATAATAGCAACGCCAATAATTTATGGAACGTTTACACACAGTCTCTGTGTGCCAGAGACTGTGCAGCTATTTCTCAAACATGCTTTCACTTCCTCCTCATAAACACCCTATCTGACAAGTATTAATATTGCCCTCATTTAAGAGAGGATAAAACGGACACCCAGAGAGGTTAAGTCACCTGATGAAAGTCACACAGGCAGTGACCGGCAGAACTGGGTTTGCATCCAGACCTCGGGATCTGAGAAGCCGATGCTTCAAAGTACTGCACGATTATTTAATAAATTCATGTCCCCTTCCTTGGAATATACAGTTCCCTCTCCTAAAATGCCCTTCCTCCTGTCTACCCAGCCAACCCCTACTTTTCTTTCAAGATCCCAAATCAAGTCCCTGCTCCTCTGTGACACTTTAACCCGCCGCTCCCGAGGGCGGGGGTTTAGACCCCAGGCGGTCATTTTCTCCCCTGAGTGTCGTCGATGCCTGTCCATGCCTCGCCCACGGCGTTCACAGCCTGCTGTCCTGGTCTGTCTGGTGCGAGTCCATCCCCCGCACTGGGCCCTGCGAGCAGTGTGAGCGCAGGCGCTGGGGCCGGGTGGCCTCTACGGTACCCAGTGCCTGCACAGCGCCTGGCAAACAACGAGCACCCCCAAACGCGCACCTGTTAAGTGAAGTAACTGGGAGGAGGGGCACTTCTAATACATCTTCCTTCCACCTCCCACCATACGGAGCCCAGAGTACGTGTTTAACGAGTGTTCTGTGGACAACTGGGTGACGGGACAGTCGGACGGGCAGGCAGGTGGGTGGCCAGAAGGAAGGGGAAACGGCAGGGTCTCCGTAAAACCCGCGCTCACCTGAATGCCCCAGGTCTGCAGCTGCTCTTCTGCGGCGCCCAGGTCGAAGGCAACGGGCGCACAGGTATTGTCGATCCGGAGAACCGTGAGGACCTGGCCATTGCGGAGCTCTGAAAGCAGACCAGAAGCTTCACCTGGCTGAGCGAACACCACCGTAGACGAGCCCGGAGCCTGATGGCATCACCTCCTCTGGCCACGAGAACCTTCTCAGGGCAAGGAGGGACCTGGTGGTGGTCCTCGAATCCCCATGCGAGAAGGACTGAACTGGACCAGAAACCCCTGCGGGGGCAGAGCTGAGACCAGAGTGTGGACACGATGCAAGACCCTATAAAGGAAGGACTTGCCAAGAAATGAGAGCTGTCCAGACAAAGAATTGGAAGTAGTGAGCTCCCCATCACAAAAGATATTTTTTTAATGTTTATTTATCTTGAGAGAGAGAGAGAGAGCCAAGAATGAGCAAGGCAGCTGAGAGAGCAGGAGAGAGAGAATCCTAAGCCATCAGTGTGGAGCCCGATGCAGGGCTCGATGCCACAAACTGAGATGGCGACCTGAGCCAGTCAACATTTGGACGCTTAACCAACAGAACCAGCCTGGCGCCCGAAACAAGGTATTTAAGCAGACCGTACAACTAAGTACATGGAGAAGGCGATGTTTCAGACATTGGTATGGGCACCGCCACAAAGGAAGCTCACCTGAATATTACATTCCCAGAGGGTTCCGTCTACTGCAGCAGAAGCACAAACCCCCAAACATGTCCCCGCCGTGCTGCCCAGAACCCATGTCCCTGGTGAAGGAGAATCAAGGTGACAGACGGAGTGGGAGTGGCTAATCCTCTGGCCTGAAATAGGGGGGTTCTCCCGGACTGTCAGGGGAGGGGGCAATGTAATCACAAGGGTCCTTAAAAGCGGAAGAGAGAGGCGGCTGAAGGGTCAGGAGGGATGTGACTGCGGAAGAAAGGGACAGCGACGGAACACCGCTACCTTTGAGGTGGAAGAGGGTTCGTGAGCCAAGGAGTATGTGTGGCTTCCAGAAGCTGGAAACAGATTCTCCCTGAGCCCCCGAAGGAAGGCGGCCCGGCTGACACACGAGCTGAAGCCCGCGTCAGACTTCCGGCTTCCAGAACCGTCAGAGGACGGATCTGTGTTTGGCCAGCCTCTGTGTGGGCACAGAAAACAGAGACGTGGACTTACTGGCCACCCCTCCCCAGGGTGTCTGCTACTCACTTGACATTTCAAAAGCGCCAACTGGATGAAGTGGAACCTCACAAAACACACCACATCGACTCAGCCTGGCCACAAGTCAGGCAGGACGGCGACCAGGCCAGCCCAGTGAGGTCCGCTGGAGTGAAAGCCCCTGGGGACTGAGACCCCCTCAGGCCCAGGAGGATCAGCCAAGGAACGAAGCCAAATCCACCTTCTGCTCCCAGGAGAGAGACTCTGGACTGAAGGATCGAGATCTCCTTCTACCACAGCAAGAGGTCCCGTGACCCACCAGGGTTAGCATCGCAGGGTTAGGGGGGGGGCAGGGGAGGGGGGACCCCAGTGTTCAGCCACATGAGGCTGGGGACTGGATATGCTGGCACACATTCTGTGGGCGAGGCTTAGAAAACGAGGCAGCATGGAAAAGACGAAATCATAAATCTGCTGGCCCAAACCTCCTGTCACATGAGCCTGGCTCTGGGCAATAGGTAAGTCTATTTTTTTTTTTTCAATGTTTATTTATTTTTGAAAGAGAGTGAGAGTGCGTGAGGGTGAGGGGCAGAGAGAGAGGAAGCCACAAAATCTGAAACAGGCTCCAGGCTCTGAGCTAGCTGTCAGCACAGAACCTGACGTGGGTGGGGCTCAAACCCACGGACTGTGAGATCATGACCTGAGCCAAAGTCAGACGTTTAACTGACTGAGCCACCCAGGAGCCCCTGAGTCTTTATTTTTTTTTTTTTAAATGTTTTATTTATTTCTAGGAGAGAGACAGCATGAGTAGGGGAGGGTCAGAGAGAGAGGGAGTCACAGACTCTGAAACAGGCTCCAGGCTCTGAGCTAGCTGTCAGCACAGAACCTGACGTGGGTGGGGCTCAAACCCACGGACTGTGAGATCATGACCTGAGCCAAAGTCAGACGTTTAACTGACTGAGCCACCCAGGAGCCCCTGAGTCTTTATTTTTTTTTTTTTAAATGTTTTATTTATTTCTAGGAGAGAGACAGCATGAGTAGGGGAGGGTCAGAGAGAGAGGGAGTCACAGACTCTGAAACAGGCTCCAGGCTCTGAGCTGGCAGTCAGCACAGAGCCCGACGCGGGGCTCGAACCCACGAACCGTGAGATCATGACCTGAGCGAAAGTCGGACGCTTAACCAACTAAGCCACCCAGGCGCCCCTTGGAGCCCCTGAGTCTTTAAAGCAAAATGACCAGGGCCACTTTCCTGGGAATTCCTGCCCCCCCCCCCCCCATTCTCTCCACCTCCTCACTCAGCCCCTCTCTGGGCCCTGCCAGCTGCACCAACAAAATGTCTCTCAACTCCAAGCACCTCCTGGCATTTACACCGCACCCCAGGCCAGGCTACCTTCACCTCTCCCTTGCACCCTTGTGGCAGCCTCCTCGTTGGTTTCTCCAAGTCTACCCCACCCACTTACAATGCATTCTCCAGCCGGCATGCGAAATGCACGATACCAATGCTCTCAGTAAAACTTTCAATAGCTTTTTGGTGCTCTACCGACAAAAAACCAACCTCCTTACCACGCTCGCCCAGCCCTCTGAAGAACCAGTGTCCTGCCAAACTCACCTCGAGCCATTCCACTTCCTTCTGTGTCTTGCCACGCCAGCCTCCTTTGTTCTTGGAACAAGCCGTGTTCATTCCTACCCCAGGGCCTTTGCAAATGCTGTTCCCTTTCCCTAGAACACTTCCCTTGGGCTTCACCCACTGAAATCCTATTCATCCCATTCATTGGTATTCCAGCTCATTAACCATCTCCTCAGGGAGTCTTCTTTACACTATACCCCTAACAGATCGAATTCTTCCATTAAACCTACTCAGAACTGCTCTTCGAAGCCGTACATATTCAATGATAAGTACACGTTTGCAATGACTTGCTTAGATATGTATTCAGTTAACTGATTAAAGTCTATCCCCCAGTGTGGGAGCCTATGTCCTTCACGTTGGTTCTGCTCACACTGAATCCCAGAGCTGGGTTCATACCTGGAATACAGTAGGCACTAAATAAATGTCTGATGTATAAATGAATCGATATGACAGAACTCTGGTCCCCAACCCCAAAGAGAGTCCTTTTTTCATGTCCTGAGGTATCACCTTTCATCTCAAGGGTGACAGAACATTGGACACCTTGCCAAAAAGAACTTTATTTGCTTTCTTCTTCTTCCTCTTCTTTTTCTTCTTCTTCTCCTTCTCCTTCTTCTTCTTTTTTTTTAAGTTTTTGCAAGAGGGGAGGGGTGGGGAGGCAGGGAAAGCATAACCTAGACCGCTAGCTCTAGGAGTCAAAGTGTGGCCCAGCCTCTCACTCCCAGAGTAGCCTCCAGGAAGTGGTCTAAATCCCCGGCCTGCTTCCTCGCTTAGAGGAGGTTAATATCCACCACACACAGTTTTTCAGAGATGAGGAAAATAACTGCCCAGAGAAACACGGGTGTTAAATAACTGGCTATTGTTGCCGATTTAAAAGCAAGCTTGTTGGGGACACAAAAGTTGCAATAAAGCTACCCATGCGTGGCTTTAGTTGGATTCCTTCTTACCCTCCCACTTCTACTCCAGAAAGGATTTAAGGTGGCTTTATAAAAATAAAATATGAAAACAGGCACCTGGGTGGCTCAGTTGGTTAAGCATCCAACTTCAGCTCAGGTCATGATCTCGTGGTCTGTGAGTTTGAGCCCTGCATCAGGCTCTGTGCTGACAGCTCAGAGCCTGGAGCCTGCTTCGGATTCTGTCTCCCTTTTTCTCTCTCTTCCCCTTCCCCACTTGCATTCTGTTTCTCTCTCAAAAATAAGGACAAATAAAAAATAAAACATGAAAAGATAAAATTATAAAATCAGATTTAAATATAAAGCAAGCATGGGGCACCTGGGTGGCTCAGTCAGTTAAGCGTCCAACTTCGGCTCAGATCACGATCACAGTTTGTGAGTTCAAGCCCCCGTGTCGGGCTCTGTGCTGACAGCTCAGAGCCTGGAGCCTGCTTCGGATTCTGTGTCTCTCTCTCTCTCTCTGTTCCTCCCCTGCTCCTGCTCTCTCTCTCTCTCAAAAATAAATAGATTTTTAAAAATAATTTAAAAAATTTTTAAATAAAAATAAGCAAGTGAGAAAAACTAGACAAAAAGAAAACAAAGGCAGAAATGAGTCTGAATAAGGTAAAATGAGAATAGCTTCTAAGTACTGAGACCACACCAGGCACAAAGCTTGGGCTTCAGAGTCCTAATCTCATTGCATCCTCCGAGAGCCCTAAAAGGTGGATGCCATCGTCACAGAAAAGGGAACAGAGCCTCTGAAGGGTGCATAGACCTGCCCGAAGTCACGAGGGGAAATGAAAGTAAGAAAGGAGCAAAGGCAGTGCCCAAAACCCAGCCAGTCACGCCGGGTGGGTCGCGGACCAGCGCCCCATTTCACGGCACAGCACAGAGAAACCACGCAGACCGGGGCGCTGGGCACAGAGGACGCCTGCGGCCCTGCCCTAGCTCTCTGCACTCTGACCAAAGCGCTGGTCCAAGCAATGCAAAGATTCTTCACGCTGACTTTGTTTGCCTTTCAAACCAAGTTCCTGGATTCTTGGCAATAATCTCTCTCATCTGTTCCTTAGAGCGGAAACAGCAAGTCTCTACTTAGAATACTTTTATTACACCTAGATAAGAAGAACTTGAAAAGCCATCAAGGGACTGTGCACACACACGTGTGTGTGCACATGTGTGCACACATGTGCATGGCGAGGAGCAATTTCCTACAAAGCAGCAAGAACTGGTTTGCCAAAAACCAGTGGAGCGATGTCTTCAAGTTCTAAAGGAAAATTATTTCATTCTACTTCATCCTACTGGGGGGGGGGGCTGTGCACGTGTGCACGCGCGAGTGCACACATGCGCATGTACGTGTGTGTGTAAATTGTTTGCCCAAAAGCAGGAGTAATAGAAGAAACCCTTGATTTTGAGCAGTCAAGTTTCAAATCACCTAAGTAACCAGCAGCAATTCAAAATGCCTATGCCCAGACACCCGTCGTTCTGTTTTTTCAACAAAATAGGTGCTGAGCATCTACGACGGGCCGAGGCTGTGCTACGTACTGCAAATGCAGGAATGAACGGGATCACACAGCCCCTGACCTCGTGAGACTTACACCCTGGTAGGGAAGCTGGACATTCAGCACTTTATTACACAGGTCATCACAGACTATGGTAAGTGCTGTGGAGAGAAGCAGGAATGTCTCGGGGAGTCCTGGCTTAGGCTGGGGTATCAGGAGAGAACTCCCTATAGAAGGATATCTGAACTGAGCTCTGAAGCAGGAGTGGAAATTAATCAGAGGAAAGGAGGCAGGGAAAGAGCATAACAAGTCGGAGAAACAGCAGGTGCAAAGGCCTTGAGGCAGGACAGCATGGCAGGAACAGAGAACAGGGGTAGCAGGAGCCACTAAGGCGGGCCTTGCAAGCCAGTGACAGATCTTCACACTAAGCCCCAGGGGAAGCACTAAAGCAGAAAGTGACATATCTGTTCTATATTTTTAAAAGGTGCCTCTAAATGCCATGTAAATGGAAGAGGCAAGAAGTAGAGATCATCTAGGAAGATACAGCAGGGATCCAAGCCGAAGGTAACAGTGACTTAGTCTAACAAAATGGTGACAGAGAGAATGGGGAGAAATGACAGACTGGCCAAGAAATGTATCCTAAAATGCCCACCCCGAGCTAAAGGCTCTCCTGTGCCCTCCCCTTCCCTCCCCTCCCCTCCACTGTGCTATGTGAGTCCAGCCCAGCATCGGGGGAGAGGGGGAGGGAAATAAAGGGTCATGACCTTACCTTGCCCCCAGCCCAGGGGACTCCCTCCAGGCAAGGCACTCCAGCCAGGGGAGGAGGTGGGCAATGGGCTGGCTGCCCCGCTGGGGCCCATCTGAGGTTCACAGGCCATACCAGAGAGACAGCTGGGCTCCTACTTCCCCTTCTCGGAGCTGTGGTTCATTCTGGAGTAGCCAACTCCGCTTCTCTTGCCTTCAGAAAACAGCACAAGAAAGAACTTCAGGCCTGGGCAGGTGGGGCTTCTTGGCCTCTCCAAGGCCAAAGTCATCCCAAGACCAGAGAGAGCCACAGGAGTCTTCCCACTGACTTTGCTCTTTCCAGTCTTGCTGAGGAACATTCTCAGGAGTGAAGAGGAGGAAATAAAAACCCTCCAAGGGAGAACCGAGAACTTCCCTCTGGTCTTGGGTCTTCTCTGGCTCAGACACTCACTTGGAACTCACAAACTCATCAGGCCCCGCTCCCAGACGTCTGGGAGTTCCGTTCCCTTATTCAGAGCACCCCAGGCAATTAGGCTCAAGACCAGTGCATTCATCATGGAGAGCCTTATTCATACAAGGCTCAAACAGCTTTCCAGAAGACATTGCAAAATACAAATGACAAAGATCAGGATGGTGGGAAATACAGATAAAGAAAGAAAGAAAGAAAGAAAGAAAGAAAGGAAGGAAGGAAGGAAGGAAGGAAGGAAGGAAGGAGAGAGAGAGAGAGAGAGAGAGGGAGGGAGGGAGGAAGGAGGGATAGATTAAAAATGACAACCATGAATTACAAAAATACCCAGATATTCAGGCAATCAAGGTCCCCAGCAGAGGCAGTGGAAGTTTTGGCTCAGGTTTGGACTAACCAGTTTAAACCACAGTTCTACTACCTACTAGTTATGTAAACTTGGGCAAATGGTGTCACTTCAAAGAGATTTAGCTCCCCATCCTCCAACAATGGTACCTTCCCCACAAGGCTGTCACAAAGAATCGGTGTGGTGATCTATATAAAGAACAGACAAGGGCATCTGGAACAAAGGACGCATCCCACAGATACTAGCTCTCACTGTTGCTTCTTTGAGGTTTGGCATGGTTGTCACACCTGAGCCAAGAATTAGGTTTTGGGCTTCCAGGTGGCCAAAGAGGGTGAAGAAGGCAATGCATCCTCCTGGCATTTAGCGCTAAAATATCGTGGAAACGCTTCCAAAGTCCCAGGAGTTGGGTCAGTGACAGCACAGCGGGCATGGCCATGACCCGAAGCCACTGTCATCAACAGAAGCAGAAATGTCCTTCGTGGGGATTTTCTTGATGCCACAACAGAGTCTGCAGTGCCACGCGTTCTGGCTGGAGCCTGCATGCTTACTCTCTCTGTTACGTGTCCACCAGGTCCCTGAGAATTACCCGGCGCCGAGGAAAACCTTGCCTATGCCCCAGATGACATGCCAGCCTTCTTAACCATCTTGGCGAAACGTCTGGTAGAATCAGTTTTTGCTGCCATGGCTCCTGATGCTGGTGAAAACAAGGGTGCCCTGTCGGTGACACACATCTGCTTAATTCTAAGCTGGCCCGAGGGCTCACAGCCACCGCTCCGATCCCCTCAAGAGGGGAGGCTGGGGGACTCCCACACCCTCACTACCCTCCGTTTCTCTGAATCTTTTAAAAGGGACCGACTACATAATTTGTGGGGCCTAGAGCATTAACGAAAATGTGGGGTCCCTTGTTCAAAAATGACGAAGAATTCCAAGATGGTGATGGCAGAACATTAAACCAGGTTGGGGCAGGGGGACTTTCTAAGTGGGGAGCCCATGTGTCTGAGCAGACTGCAGGCACCTCAAGCCAGCAGGGACTTTAAGCTCCAGAAGATCACTGGCGGGGTGGGGGGCAGTGTCACTAACCAGTAACACACAGCTGCCCTGTACCCGGCTCTGAGACCACAAAGCAACGAAACGTTATGACAAAGCAACGACTTGAACACCCGAGAGCCTGGATTTGAATCCCTGCTCAGACACTCACATGCTCTGTGGCAGGGGACTTAATTCCCTGAGCCTCGCTGTCCTCGTCTGTAAAATGGGTACAGGGCCCAATGTTCATAGCAGCACTCTCCACAATAGCTAAAACATGGAAAGAGCCTAAGTGTCCATCAACGGATGAATGGATCAAGAAGATGTGGTTTATCTATACCATGGAATACTACATGGCAATGAGAAACAATGAAATCTGGCCATGTGTAGCAACATGGATGGACCTTGAGGGTGTTATGCTGAGCGAAATAAGTCAGGCAGAGAAGGACAAATATCATATGTGTGCACGTATAGGAGGATTAGGAGGAACTTGACGGAGGAACAAGGGGGAGAAGAAGGGCGGAAATGGTGGGGGAAAGGGAGAGAGGCAAACCGTGAGAGACTGTTGAATGCTGACAAAAACTGAGGACTGATGGATGTGGGGGGGAGGGGGGTTGGGCATGGAGGAGGGCACTTTGGGGATGAGCACTGAGTGTTATGTGGAAACTAATTTGACAATAAACTATTTGTAAAAAAAAAATAAAATAAAATGGGTACAGGGAATCCTCCCTGGCATGGCTGCCGCAGGGATACCAAAGAGAGATACAGGCCTGACATCCAGGACCCTGCTCACTAAGCAGGAGTCTCTCCTCAGAAAGAGAGAAAACTCAGAGTCAAAGACATAAAGAGACCTGCCCACGACAGAGGTGCTGGAAGCTATAGGGCCAAGAGGGGAACCCAGGCCATCTGGCTCCAGAGTCCAAGGCCATAATTCCTAAGCCCTGAGCCTCAGGACCCAGGTCTGGCCACCTCTGAGCCTGTTCTTTAATGCACCTTAAAGAAAAATGCGTCCAGTGAGGCTAGTCTCCCTGGCATGATGTACAACGAACTCCTGATGGCATCTGAGATGCCGCCCCTCGCCCAAGGCCTGCCCACAGCAGGCATTCCCAAAAACTGTCGCACTAACCGGTCTGTGGCACCACCCCTTCCTTCCTTCCTCTTATCTTGCATGCCCCAGCCAACAACGACAGCCCAAGGAAGTCTTCCCTGCACTTGGCAATCTCTGAAGCCCTTCCCTGCCTCTCCTGATCACCTCCTGGGCCACCGAGGCAAATATAAACCTTAGACCCATTTCCCAGGCTGTCAGAGCTTAGCAGCCTGCAGCCCAGAGAAGCTATTTGGGAGTCTCAGAAAGGCCTGTGGGACCCGGGAGCCGGCCCTCTGTCCTCCAGGCAGGAGGGGTCACCCACAAGCTGCAGCTGCCGAGAAAGCCTTCCCCTATGGAAAGTTTCCATTAGTTGTAAAATCCCACAACTTGTCTTTGAGAAGCAATCCCAGAACCCCAGTTGGCCCAATGAGCCTCCCACAAAGTCCCAATCAGGAGAAGTCAGTCATTTGCCTGAAATAATGTGTAATGGCTAAAAGGCACCTGTACAGTTGTGCCGTTTCCCACCTGTGTGACGCGGAGCAAGTCACTTAACTTCTCTCTGCCTCGGTTTCTTTACACGTAAAGGGGGATAATAATAGTAACTGAGGCTAAAAATGGTTGCACGTGTACATCATGCAGAGCAGCACAGGGCATACAGGAATCACCGAGGGAATACACCTGTCACTATTTGTACTCCACAAACATTCCCTAAGAAACTCGAAGTGTCAGGCCCTGTGCTTTCTGACTCTTAACACCAAAAATAAAATCTTAAAGTCCTTGGTTGCCCCTCCCTGCTGGGGAACCCCATCTGGTGGGAAAGATGAACTCAGAAAGAGAAATAAGAAACAATGACCGAACTAGGCAGTCAAAGGGAGCAGGCAGAACACAGGGGGGCTCAAAACCTTGTTGGGGGGGGAGGCTTTGCAAAGGTGGTGGTGAGAGAAGGGGCCGCCAAGCAGAGGGAGGTACACACCAGAGGCCAGAATGGGCCCAGTCAGGGCCCTCTGCGTTCACCCTGTATCCCGGGGCCCAACCCGGAGGCTGCGGAGGGCGAAAGGGGTTTTGGAAACGCTGGCCAAGGGCCGACACGGACCCATCACCTTCTAGTATGTCCTGGGCTCACCATTCTGCTCAGCCCCGCACCAGCCCTAGGGGGACTGGGGAGACAGAACCAGGCACCAGGGCGGAGGCAGAGCCAGGGAGTAAGCACAGCCCTGGGGCTCCAGCAACTAACTGGCCATCCACTCCCCAGTCTCCTTTGCTGATGCTGCATATTAACCGGACCTTCCAGTCATACGTCTTTTTTTAATTAGGTGGGGAGCCCCCGCAAAGGAAGATACCCTTAAGTGCCGCTGAGCAAAGGTCTCCATGTGTGCAGACAGAATGCCCAGTCTCCCCAGGAACCGTGTGCCTCACTGAGATGGATGTGAGAGAGCCAGCGAGCGAGAAAGAGCTTAACAGTTTTCACGAGTCGGGTTTTGTTTTCATGAAACTGGAAAGCCCCAACAAAAGACCATCAGAGGGCCTGTCACAGAAGTTTCAGAGTGGGAAAGCCGTGAAAGACCATGAGTCCAAGCTCTCCATTTTGCAGATGAGGAAATTAAGACCCAGAAATGAAAGTGAACTATCCCCGGTTACAGAGAGCCAGCCCAGGATGGAGTCCGAGCAGGGCAGGGCTCATTCGGGCCGTGGATGCCCCGCCACACCTGGCCTTGGGCGGCTGTCTTGCCCCGGTCTCTGCCTTCAAGTCCTGTCCAGGGTCGGCTACCCCGGGTCTCCTTCACTTCGGAAATCCCCTCCCCCCATTGGCCCCCGGCCCCCAGGAGCCGCCCGAGAGCGGCTCCCACGCCCGACACGCGCGGGAACGGGGCCCAGGGCGCGCAGAGAGCCGGGCCTCCGACCCCAAGCCGGGAGGGGACGCCCAGGCGGCCGCGCCGCTCCGATCTGGGCTCCCGCGGCCGCGCAGCCACCCGGGCGCGCGCCCCGAGCCGCGCACACTCGCCGCCCGCGCACACTCGCCGCCCGCGCACACTCGCCGCCCGCGCACACTCACCGCCCGCGCACACTCGCCGTCGCCGCCTCCGCCGCCCGGGGACGCGGAAGGTCGGGGCCGCCGCAGCCCCTCCGCGCCGCAGCCTCCGGCACCCGCGCCCCGCCCCGCCCGCCGCGCTCCCCGGCCCCGCCCCCGGCCGGGCCGCCCCGCGCCGTCACCCCACCGGGAGGGGCCCAGAGGGTGACCTCCCTTGCATCAGCCGGGCGCCCTCCGGGACGCCGGGAAGCGCCTCCGCGCCCGCCGACCACGTGCACGCCTCTGGGGCCTCCGCACCTGGGTCTCCCGCCCGCCCGCCCGTCTAACGCAGGCACGGCCCCGGGGCGGATGGGGCGGATGAGGCAGGCCCGGGGACCAGAAACTTCTCAGCTGGTGCATCTAAACTCCTAAGAGCATCTGTTGGAGGATCAGACTACCCGAGCTCCAAGCCTGATCTGATCTGTTTTTTTATTTTTAGATCATCTCCGGTCAAGTGGTTCATCTCTCGGTGTCTTCGTTCTCTGGACAGATCATTTCATGGGACTGAGTAAAGCTTTAATGAGACAGTCTCTATGAAGTGTTCAAAACCGCCAGACAAGAGAGCTGCACGCTAAACACTGGCTGCTGCCCGCACCCCTCCCACGTGAGCCTCAGAGGGGTCTATAGGGAAACGTGGCCCCCCGCCTACCCCGGGAGAGCACGAACCGCGCATGTTGTCCCATAGAGCGCATGTGGATGGACACACGAGCTGTTCTACTCTGTTGGCCACCTGCGTGTTCGTTCAACGAAGTTCCCTGGCGTTCACCTCATGCCGGAACATTCTGCCCTGCCTCCTTTCTAAGGGATACATAAATCTCCAAATATTGTAGGAAGGCTCTTTCTCTCCTTTGTCCCTCTCCCCTGGAGGAGACATGGTGGGGGAGGGGTCCCCACTGGCTCCCAGGCCTTGCTGGGATGGTACCAGCCACGGTGCCCTGTATATGCCCTAGCCTGCATTTCTACAAGTGGACTTGCTGAGTCAGAATGGGTACATTTCTTATTTCAACAGATATTGCCAAATTGCGGGGGCCTCAGGCCACAGCACTTAGTTGGCTGAGTGCTCGGCCAGAGGCAGAAGTGGAGTGTTGGGGGCGGTGAGCAGTGATTGAACAGAGCAGCAGGTACGGTCCAGATGCCTTCACTCACCAGGCAAGCAAAGATGCAGGCAGTAGGTAACTAGAGATGAAGTTCATTTATTCAGCAACAAAGGACACTGGGTGCCTGCTAAGTGCCAGGCCATTGTACTGGGCAGCCCTGAACAAGATACTCAGGATCCTGATTTGGTTTGCCTGACTTCGGCAAACACCATGTGGGGACATGAGAGTGAGAGCCCTGTGAGATGTCGGAGCTTTACTAACTGCTGACGGGACACCGAAAGGGATCCTTGGACAGGTGTGTGGCCAGGTCAGCCCCTCTCCAAATCCTGCCTCTCCAAACAAGGCCCACCTCAGCATGAAGCTGGGCATCGAACTCCAGCCCCTCCTGCTAGGCTGCCTTCACTCGCGTCCCCACTGCTTGCCACCCCAGCATGAACTTAAACATGTTGATAACTTGGTCTCCTTTGCTAGGGAGGCACAGAAGACGTGGGCCTCTGGAGTGGGCTGATGAGGCTCCACCACTTACTGGCATATGACCTTGCACAGGTGGGCGCACCTCTCTGAGCTTCGGCTCCCTCCTTTATGATAAAAGGGTAACAGTATCTGCTAAACTGAGAGATGGGAAGACTTAAAGGAGATGATGGATGAATTGCTTAGCGGCAAGTCTCCAGTGGGAGAGGGCTGCGTTCCTAGACTGCAAGGCTGAGCACCTTGTGCATCCGAGACTTCAGAGCACGGTAAGTGTCGCCGCTATGGCGTGAGGGTGCAGGGGCCCCTCGTAGAAGACAGAAAGGTGGATCAAATCCAGTAAAAGGGGAGTAAAATCTAGCCAAGTTCTCAGACTTTGGTGGCAATATCTTGATGGATTCACAAGGCTCCATGTGGTAAGCAAGCCCAAACCCCTCTCCACCCCCAGCCTGCCCTGACCTAGTCTTTACCAGCTCTCCCCCAACCCCCAAACCCCAAAGTCCAAGAACATAGAACATTTCTCAGTTCCTCCTACAGCCCCATGCCCTCACTCACTTCCCATTCTCAGTGGTCTCCATTCCTCTCCATCTGGAAGGTAACCCTCAACCCCATTCCACATCTCAGGTCTCAGCTGAAAGGGCCGTCTTCTGGATACCCCTTCCTTTGCCCCTTTCTCGTCAGTAGCCTTGTTTAACTAAGGCCCAACCCAGCACATGATGTGGTCATTGCTCAATGTTCCCTTCTCCCAAAAGAGAAAAAACCCTTGGTGAGTAGAGCTGCTTCTGCCCATGCTCACAGCTGTCCCTCATCATCCTGCCCTCAGGGCTCGCTACCTGCATCTGAAGTGGTGAATGAAAAGCTGTGAATGAAATCAGCAGGGCTTTAGCCGCAGATAAATCCAGAAAACCACAGGCTCCAGCCAAAGCCACCATTACTCAGCAGCTGTACCCTCTGCCCTGTTGTGTTGCAAAAGTTACAGACTCGTGTCTGAGGGCCCGCCACCGACTCTCTGGCAGCCTGGATGGGGTGAGAAGGAATGTTCTTCCCAGCCTGGCAGAATCTCCAAGTGTGGCAGCAGATGCGACACAAGGGGCTCAGAACCACTGAATGCAGCAGTGAAACACAGGGAAATTCAGTCTTGTTTTTTGAAACAGATCTGACTGTTACAGATTTTCTAACTCCTTTAGAAACAGACCACTTGAAACGTTGCCACGGTCTGAACAATTTGAACTAAATAGTACATGGATTCAGGTTGGGAAGCCAGACAGACTTGGGTTCAAATCCAGATATGCCACTAATTGGCTCCGTGACCTCGGGCAAGTGATTTTATTGCCTGTGTACCTCAGTTTCCTAATGTGTAAATGGGAATAATAATATCTGTCTCACAGAGATTGTGGGAGAATTTGACCATGTATATAAAACACCTGGAATTTCTCTTGGTATAAAGTTGGTGTTAGTAAATGTGAGCTATGTTTATTCTCTTAATGCTTATTTACTTTTGAGAGAGACAGAGCACCAGTGGAGGAGGGGCAGAGAAGGAGGAGACACAGAATGTGAAACAGGCTCCAGGCTCTGAGCTGTCAGCACAGAGCCGGCCGTGGGGCTCGAACTTATGGACCGTGAGATCATGACCTGAGCCGAAATCACTTAACTGACTGAGCCACCTAGTAAATATGAGCTATTTTTAAAAACATTTCCTAAGCAGGTCCTGCAGAATTTTCATTTCCATTATGTTGATTGGAACTCCTGGACGCCACACTGCACAGTGGGTCCACTACAATATATACACAATATAGGTCAATGGCGGGTGAGAGCTTGGAGCTAAACACACAGCTGTCCTTGTCAGGAGGTGTGCAGGCAGTAAGACAAGTCACATGCTGTTTTTCAGGAAACTAGGTCAAAACCAAAAGCAATACTCTGAATTCCTGTCGGGAAGGCCTGGAGTGTCAGGGATCTGTTTCTACACTGCGTCCAGAAGACGAGACCCAAGGGCAGGTATGAAGAGAATAAAACGGGGCGAGGCCTCAAGAGGAAGAACATCTGGTTGGGAGAGGAGGGAATGGCAACTGGAAGTACTCAGGCTTTTGGGGGGCCCGCAGGGGCTCAGCCAGTTAGGTGTCTGGCTTTTGATTTCAGCTCAGGTCATGATCTCAGGGATCATGGATTTGAGCCCCAGGTCGGGCTCTGGGCTGACAGCAGGGAACCTGCTTGGGATTCTCTGCCCCTCCCCCTGCTCATGCATCCGCACATGCCCTCTCTCTCAAAATAAATGAACACTGAGAAAAAAAAAAAACCGTACTCAGGCTTTTAACTAGAAAGCTCCACCCTCTGGTCTTTGTCTTTAAAAACCGTACAAGCTGATGGTAGCCAGCCCACTAATCATGTTCTTGAAACAGCCAGCCTAGCTCCTCCCCTAATCTTTTCAGCTCCTGCCACATTCCAGAATGTTGCCACTGTTCCCTTTGTTATCCTCAAGTAGAAGAAGAGAGGTTGTGTGCCTCCTGACCCTCCAAGCCCACCCGTGCCCATTGCTCATCCCAAGCACAGTGAGCTATGGCCTTGAACTGACAATTGGCCCACAAGACAGTGTCATTTGAAGTTTTTCAAAAGCCAGAGAAGATAGATGTTGACTTGATCCCGCAGCTTCCTCTTCCAGAACCACTGGCCAAATCTCTCGGAAGAGAGTGTGCCTCTCCTGCCTCGTAAGGCCAGTCTATGCAGGCGAAGGGGAGCAGGAGGGAGGAAACCTTGAACTGACTGCCTCTTAAGGCCAAGGCCGGCCTACGCAGGCGAAGGGGAGTGGGAAGGAGGAAGCCTTGAACTGCCTGCCTGCCGTGGAAGCCCTTTCAGGAATTTCAGAGCCACTGAAGCGACAGGAGCAGTTGAGAGGACAAGACACTCGGAGGTCTCACGAACTGCCCCCGAAGGAAAGAAAAAATAGGAAAGGTGAAAGAGGAGGAGCACAAAAGACTCACGGGAGCAGGTTCTTTCCACTGAGCGGCTTTCATGGACTTCTGGTGCCGTCAGTCTTCCCGCACGGAAGGCCAAGTGTGCCAAGAATGCTAGCTACAGGCTTTGAAGCTTTAGGAGGCTGAGTACTCCGCCCACCACAGTATTCGGGAAAAGCCTGGAGGCTGGGCACCGTGGGTTTTCCTTCACAGCCTTCAGTCCAATCCGGTTGGACTTGATACCCACTCTGTGGCCTCCTTGCTCTGTGACCCTGAGCATTCTCTAAACCTCTCAGGGCCTCAGCTCTCCCATCCCTGGGAGTAAGATCTTGTGCCTAAACTGCAGAGCTGTCGTATGGTTACACGAGTGCCCAAACACAGGCTCCCTCACTTGAAGCATGCTGAGATTCCGTGACTGGCCTCGGACCAACTGCCTCAACTTTCAGCAACTCGGGTTGTTTTCCACCCACGTGGGAATGGCACACCTTCAGGGAATCTGTAGATATTACACACAAGGTCTATCTGTAAGCTGTTTTATGCCTTCTATCAAGGAGAATGTAGGTCTGAGCTATGGCAACAAATAGAATGGCCAAAGAGTTCTGTGCTTCGGTAATGGACAGTACTGAGGGCATCCTTCTCCTAGACAAAGGGCTCACGTGACATGAAATTGGCCAGAGGGGCGCCTGGCTGGCTCAGTCGGTATAGCATACTGACTCTTAATCTCAGGGTTCTAAGTTCAAGCCCCACATTGAGCATGGAGCCTCTTAAAATAAAAAAATGTAAATAAACATTAAAGAATTTTCTTTATGTATTATTTATTTCTAGGAGAGAGAGAGAGAGAGACAGTGTGAGCAGGGGAGGGTCAGAGAGAGAGGGAGTCACAGACTGAAACAGGCTCCAGGCTCCGAGCTGGCAGTCAGCACAGAGCCCGACGCGGGGCTTGAACCCACGAACCGCGAGATCATGACCTAAGCCAAAGTCAGACGCTTAACCGACTAAGCCACCCAGGCGCCCCCATTAAAGAAATTTTTTAACAAAAAAAAAATTAAAAAAGAAAAAGAAAAAAAGAACTTGCCCAGTGGAGCGATTAGTTTAGGAGTTGAGAGCTGTAAAGAAAAGAATCACGTAGGTGAGGAACATTAAAGGGGCAATAACATATGCTCAGTGTCAAGCACATCCAGCAGTTTAGCACAGATTCCTGGCTAGACTGCCAATCTTGATCTTGGCTCTACCACGGCTCATCCTTGCAACTCTGTCTCATAGCCTGCAAAATAAAGCTGTTTAAAAAAAATAAAAATAAAATAAAACAAAATAAAAGTTGCTTTAAGTTAGTATAAATGCAAAAGTTCTTAGGACATCAGCCAGCATGGAGAAAGCTATTAACAGCTGTAGATGTTTTTTACTCACCCCATTTCCAAAACACCCGCCCTGGGCAATCCCGTCTGACCCCCTTGCGGTTAGGCTGGCCCGTGTGACCCGTGCTTGGCAGTGGGCTGGGAACTAGCGCGTGCCAGTTCAGGACTGAAGTGTGCAAGGTGCGTGTTGGCCAACTCTCCCTTCCCCACCATCGGGGAACCCAGGCGCTAGGATGGTGGGGTGGCAAAGGGCAAGTACACGGAGTCACTGCATCACCGCGTGGGCAACAGCTGCTCTGCAGTCGCCAAACGTGTGTCCAACGTGAAGGAATCAACTTGTATTAAGCCACTGAGATTTCAGAGTGTATCCTGTCCTGACCAGCTCTTACTGGAGGTGAAAATATGATTAGGATCAGAAAAGGACAAGCAAATTTTAGAAAAGGAGGAAACATTTGCTGAGCACCCGGAGTGCTCTAGGTATCAAGTGTAGTACCTTGTTTTTTTCTTAATAATTCTGTTGTTGCTATAGAAGAGTGGTTCTTAACTGGGGGTGGTCTGGACCCCCAGGGGACGTCTGACAGTGGAGATACTTTTGGTTGTCACAGCTGAAGGGCTACTACAGGCATCCAGTGGGTAGAGGCCAGGAACGCTGCTGGATGACCGTGTGTAGATGAAAAGCACAGCCCTGACGCTAACCCTGGGACAAGCACCAGTTTCCTCGATCTTCCAGAGATCTGTGTGTACGTACAGGCACATGCATACCCTCTTAATGCTCAGTGGGAACGAATCACACACCCACTCTTCTACACGTGTGTATCTTTATGTTCGTTCCATGTCAGAACCAACCCTACCTGCCTTAGTGTCAAAGAACCAGACATGCTAACTTCCCATGTTAGGACACAATGAAGGTCTTCCCCAAGGGTGCTTTTAAAACATCTTAGTCCTGGCCCGTCTCTGGCCCCACTCCCAGAGATCGACAGATTCAACTACCCCGAGGGCCTGAGCACCCACCGTTCTCCCTGAGTACCATCCAGCTTGAAGGCTAGGGCCAGTCCCTCATCTGTGCCCTCGCTCTCATGGCATCTCCTTTTGCCCAGAAGTCTCCAGTCTCGCTCCCTTTATTCCCCCTTCCCCACCAGCATTTAAACATGTTCTCCCCTCCTGCAAACCGCCTCCCCCATCAGCCACTACTGCCACCCTTCCCCCTTCTAGAACAGCCAGGTTTCTGCACTCATTCACGTTACATTCAGTTCATTCTCCAGACCATCTAGGTTCCTCTCCGCTAGACCAAGTTTTTAACTTTTCACATCTCACCTTTGCTCTCAACTGAACCTACATCACACCCCTTTTGAAGTACTTTCTTATGTTGCTTCTGCCACTTTACCAACATTCAGCTGGTTGGCCAGAAGTGAAGAGTCAAGCAAAAATGTACGCAAGTACAACCCTATTAATCCAGAATGAAAACACTAGTGGCACCCGGTTAGAAACCGGGTGTAAACCAGTGAATGCAGCTGCTGCTTCTCCATGGTCCCCCAGTTTGGGAAATCTGTCCTGGTGGTAGGCACAGGTGTGGGGTTTGCTGTACTCAGTGACAGCAAGAGCAAAGTCCTAACAAAACTGGGCACGGTGTGGAACACGTTAAGATGGAGATGTTTATTACAGATCCAAATCAAAATAGCAGATAAGCAATTTGACAACTCTAGAGTTCAGGAGAGAGAAGGTGGATATAAATTTGCATCTTTAACATAGATGCTATTTAAAGCCATGAAAAGTAGGTGGATTTCAACAAGGGAATGAGTGTAGACAAGTCCAAGAACAAACCCCTGGGAAAAGAGAAGCTGGAACTAGCAAGAGACAAAGGAGGGGCCGGGTAGCACATCACGGCACAACAAAGCTAAGAAAGTGGTTCTGGAAGGAATAGTCAGACCTGTCAAACAGGACTGAAGGTCACGTAGGAAGACTGGACCTCTCAATCTGGTCATCACTGACCTTGACATGCGGTTTCAGTGGGCTGACAGGAGTGCTTAAACAGTAAAAACTGGACACGCTCGTATAGAAAACTCACGAAGAATTCTACTCTAAAAAAGAACAGAAACTAGAGACGGACGTGGCCTGAGACTAACCCATCCTGAATCATATGTGATTTCGTTAAAGGGCATTTAATTCCCTCCTACTAGTTCAGAACAAGGAAGGAAATCCCATTATGCTGTCCTTCAACTGTTTTCATCTACTAGAAATTATTTTGCAGCCAGACTTTCGGCTAATAGAGAGCCACAGAGCACTGAACTCTTGAGAGTGCGCATGAAGTTCCTATATAGGCACTACATGTATCACGTAGCCCAGTAGGGAGGAAATAGGGCTCGGTAACTGGCCCAAGGCCGCCCCAGTAGATAAAAGACAGACTGCAGACTCACTAGTTGGATGCTGTTTTCAAACTAGTGGGTTGGGTAAAATCACAAGTGATTTCCTTCCTGCTAAGATACATACATTTTCTAAGTATGCGTGCAAACGTGTACGTGATACGTGTGCTAATTTAATTTCCGAAGTGAAATTCTGCACATCTGGGTCAGAGTGCACTTTGCATTATCAAAAGGGATGAACCAGAGGGAGGGAAAATGCATGACAAAGTCTTTACTTTTAAATGATGACCGGTACACCAAGTATCAAGACGTAACAAGTTCTTGAATTCTATCAGCTAGTAATTTTGATTAGGAGAAATTAAAAGCAGCCCAAACAATTATACTAGTATTTATTTTTCTATCCCTTAGCCAGAAAAGACTTTTTTAAGGCTGGCTGCTGCTTCACACAAGTTACAAATAACTATTTACTACTTTTTCATAGATAAAGCCCCTGACCTTTAAGAAAGCTATAGGGAAAAAAAAATATTTAATCCCTTTCTTTCTTTAAAATAAAAAAAAAAAGTTTGTTTTTGTTTTTGTTTTTTTTTACTACATCTAAGAAAGAAAAAGTATTGATATATACGTTGCTTGGGCTAAAAGGCATAGGAAACAGACAACATATACACGTTAAATTTCTAAGAAATATGAGGGAAAAGGAGAAAGATCTTTCGATAAGCTCTAAGTCTGTACAAAGGAGCTAGATCTGCTATTCTCCAAAAAATGAAGGGGCCTACTATACGACACACACAAATAATCTAATGCCTTTCCACAAGAACGTAACTCCAGCTTTGCCGAAGCCTCATAAGCAGGAAGGCACCTAAAATGCCGACCCGCGCGCAGAGCTGCTCCTTCGTTCCCTATCCGTTTATGCGGTAGTTTTCGTGGATTTCTGGCCGGATGTCACAGACAAAGGCCAAGAGGTTAGCCAGGACTTCCTCCCTGTTCTGCTGGAAGTAGGTCTGCAGGATGGTCATCTTCTCCTGGGTCTCCTTCTCCACCTCGGTGCTGCAGCTGCCGTGGGAGCCCAGAGCCTGCAGTCGGGGGCAAGGACACACAGGAAGGTCAGGTGGACGCGCTGGTTGGCGCAGCCTCCTTAGCGCTGGGGAAACCTAGTCTCATCGGTGAATACAGAGAATTGGTGACAGGCAATGTGACCTCGCGACTGAAGAGCACATGGGAAGGTGGTGTGACCAGTTAGTGGGAACAAAACAACAAACGCAACCCCTTTGGTGGCCAACCTTCAGACATCTATGAGGAGGTACACCGCTCAGAAATCACCCCGGGGAGCAACCCATTCCCCGCTCTATAGAGCCTGATGCACCACCTCACCCGAAGCCTGGAAAGAACCTAAAGACCCAGGAACCCGGGACTGGTGAGGCAGAGCATGGTGCCTGCACACCAGACAACACTGTGGCTAAAGAAAAGCAGATGTGTACAGAGCGAGCTGTAACAAACGCAGTTTAAGAGGAAAAGAGCAAGCTATAAAATGGTGTCAGTGTGGTTAGTAAGTGTGTTTCCTTGTGTGGTGTTAAAAGGGAAAGATATCATTAATGTTAGAGAAACAAAAAACCCTCTTAAAAAATTAAACACGAGGGGATGCAATTCAGGAGGAACCCACAGTTTACATTAACCAACACTGGTTAGCGTTCTAGCTCTTACACTCAGCAGTGGATTCACCAGCATTATGAATACATGACATCTTTTCTTTCAAACACAATATTCTAGAAGGATATACAAGAAACTACTAACAGTGACGGTCTCTGAGGAGGAGTGTAGGTCTGGGTGGGAGGAAGACTACTTTGCTGTTGCCCTATTTTACTGCTTGAATTTGTTATCATATTCGTGTCTTACCCCTTTGAATTCCATCCACAATTTAACACACATGGCCGTCCGTAAAGGAAGATAAATTTCCTTTATCTTCACAGTATGGCTGGCTTTTTGTCAGGTGTATGCCTACTTGATCAGAATGAGACCTATCAGGTTCTTGAGGACAAAACTATTTTGGATATGATCCTTTCTATCTTCTAACCTGTCCCTACCTCTTTACCGATACATTAACAGCTATGGGCCTTCCTGTCTGTATGCCCACTACAGTGTGTAACAAGAAAGCGTTCTCTCACGTGTTACTTCTTCCAAAACCTACACGGAAGCCATCCCTCCCCTTTCACAGATGAGGAAACCCAGGCTCAAAGAAGTCAAAGTGAACATGCAAGGATTCAAACCCAAGTTCCCTGAGTTGAAACTTAGGAGACTCTTCATACTGTACTGTAACTGTTCACATTAGCGGGATAAGGGGCCATCTCATATTAGCTCAGTTGCTAACTCATATTTTGAAAGGTCCAAAACCCCGCTGCGGGGGAGGGGTAGGAGAGGGGACATCACCTCTGTTCTGTGCATATACACCATACGCCCAGCCTCAATAAGCGTCACGAAGCCGAAGGGGTCACTGTGAACATGGCTGGAAACCTCAGAGCTCATGCTTACGCCACAACGCTGACCCTGGCTCTAAGTAACTGCAGCGCAGATGTAAAACTAAGACGAGGCGGCTGCCCTGACGGCAGTATTCCCACACTGTGTGGTGGGCGGTCTGGTGGTTTACAGCCCCAATCTACCCCCATTCAAGAGCTGGCGACGTTTTCAGTTTTAATAGCACCGTAGCCGCCCAGTGCAAGGACGAAAGGAACTTTTGCTACTTACTGCTCAGAGGGAGATGTGCCTCGGGCCCAGGAGGGTGTGTGCCTGGACACCCAGTGAAGGCCACACGGGAGAATGTGAGAAGGAAGCCCACAAAGACAAAGGCAGAGTTGAGCAATGGAAATAAAGTCCTGAGAGCATCATTTAAGCTCCTGTATCAAAATAAAGTTAGCCTTTTGCCTGGGTTTTTAATTACACAAGCCAATAAATTCCTTTTCCTTAAAACCAGTTTGAACTGCTGTTACCTGACAGTCTCCTTTCTATGTGAAGCCCTCCCCCATCCTTTCCCCTCTTCAGAATTGTCCCTGCTTTGGGATCTGTCGCTGTACTATGAGCATGCAGCATGGGCTGCCTGGCCCAGCCTGTGCTACTGCTAAGTGCCTCTACTCTGCTGACGTGGGGCTCCGTCTGCTTATGGTCACTAAGCTCTCTCACAGCTGGAGCTCCGCCAGACTTGCATTTTATTGCTGACTCTCCCCGACCAGCAGACTCTAGCAGGTAAACTCACGAGGCAGGAACCATGTCGCTTTCTGTTCACAACTGACCCCCTAGCGTCTGGCACAGGTTAACAGATTTAATAGATATCTGTGAAATGACTAAGTGAAGACCAGGGTTCAACGTTAGTTAAAAATGGACCATCTAGGAGACTCAGCCTGAGCACTCAATAGACAAATCTTCACATTTCTCCCAGAAATCACAATCTCCAAGCTATGCTGGATATTTCGAGAGCCTGGGGAAAAGGGAAGAAGAAGAAAGCCTCGGGGAACTAAAGCAGTAATGAAAATAAACCAAGCCCACCGCAGCTTCCTTGGCCTTGAACTCCTTCTCTCTTTGCAGGCGGTACTGTTCAATTTCAGCCTGAGCCTCTTCTTTGGCCTGCTTCAGCCTCCGGTTCTTTCCTGGTTTCAAAGGAAAAAGCTGCATCAAGGAGTGCTTAAAAGACAAGTAGAAGAGGAAGCAGAGACTGAGATGGTAAATTCTAACAGGTCACAAGGAAAACAGTCTTACACTATAGTTGCCAAGAAACGTGCATGGGGGAATTCAGAGCTAACTGGCAGTATAGGCTCCTGCCTCCTACAAGCTGTACTTAGCTAGGAAGTGACTAGATAAAAAGGGCCGCCTTCCATAACCACAGACAGAAAAATAATGGAAAAAATTCTGGAACGTGTCAGAATAGTCTCTCAATCTCTACTGTTAAGGACACACAGAGGGACGCCTGGATGGCTCAGTCGGATGAGTGTCCGACTTCAGCTCAGGTCATAATATCACGGTTCGTGGGTTCGAGCCCCGCGTCAGGCTCTGTGCTGACAGCCCAGAGCCTGAAGCCTGTTTCAGATTCTGTGTCTCCTCTATCTGCCCCTCTCCCGCTCACATTCTGTCTCTCTCTCTCTCTCAAAAATAAATAAATGTTAAAAAAAAAAAAAAAAAAAAAAAGAACCCACATAAAATGGGTGACATTACCCACCTGGAGAATTCTTGCTCTTCCCAAGAAGTGAACAACCAGGTATGCTGCTGATTATAACTAGAGGTCTGCTTAGAAGCTGAGAGAGGAGAGGACTAGGCTCCCAAGAGACATTAACCTAAACTGTAACTAAGGAGACAGGCGATGTAATATTGGAAACTAGAAACCATGCCTGTGCACAAGGAAATAAGTAATGCAAGTGGTTCTGGGCAGGCACCCTGAATGGAGAGCACTGGACAGTACAACCACACAAGCATCTAGGAAGTGAGGAGACGTGGGGGCTCTGGTTTCTAGACAAGAATAAACTTACAGCTAAAAACATTCCCTCAATTCCATCAGCCCCCATCTGAAAACAGACCGTACAACCAGCCAGCACATATTCTTTGCTTTGATTCTCTGCTCACTGATCACACTTCTAAGAAACCCAAATTGGGGAGTGGGGGTGAGGGGAGGAGGGGACGGGCGGGGTGGGAGGAGAGTCTTAGATGATCAACCTGGGCATTTATCCAATTCAGAGCAAAAGGCACCCCGCATCTAGAAGTAAGCTTTATTAGACATCCTTGTACATCAATTTCCCAAATCCCACTCAGCCCATGTGGATGAAGGAAAGTGAACTCAACCTCCCATCTCCTGATGAAGAAACGATCTCTAAAAACCCAAAGCCTGTTTCTGCAAGTGTAGGTCTACTCCAGTGTCATCTAGGGCCTACTGCTGCCCCTGGGAGCTAACTTCTACCCCTGCCCTCTGCATGCTGTCCTCCTCACCACCTATCTCCAAAGCCAATCTTCAGAGCGGAAGAGCTTTTCTAAGCCCACAACCTACAAATAACACTTCTGGCTCAAAAGTGCTAGCGCCACATAACTTCACAATGCCACTCTCCTGGTCACTCTCGACTCCCACAGCTCTCTGAATTAAGACAAAACCATTCCCTGCACATCGGACATCTTCAAAGTTCAATGGTGATAGGCTTCTCTGAGACCCAAAAATATATACTTGAACAGGAAATCATACTTCTTGTAAATCTTATTTTTGTGGGAGCCAGTATTTTATTGCTCTACATCAAGGAAATAAACCGTAACAAGTTTTTTTTAAGTTTTATGGCCAAAAGCAATGATTTCAGGAAAAATTTAAGTCGGATCCTTTTGCCACATGAGGTACTGCCTCTTCCCAATTCCTAACTGGAATTATGGCGAGGCAACCATAATTACAGATCAAAAAACGCAGTGATTTCTTTCAAACAGTAGCTCTTGTCAATACTTCTGTTTCTAATTACAGCAAATTCTGAGACATGCATTAGCCATAAACTCACTCCTTTAAAACAAACCCATTCAGTAGATACGGAATAGCCATCCAAGCTATACAAGATACTGCACCAAGCCTGATGACATAAAGAAAAATGTAAAAACATGATCCCAACATCCAAGACACTCAGAATTATTCTGACCATTGTCCAACTATTTGTGCCTGCACCTCTCCTAAATAACCTCACATACTTCCGCACAGGACAAACTCTGCGGAGTCATTCTGGAAATACTTCATCAAGAGCATGATGAGAAATACTCTATGAGGAACACAGAACTTTCCAGTCACCAGGGCAAGAATAAAAGGCTTGTTCCCATCCCCAGCTTCCTCAAAGAAAGCTTTTCCCAGGAAATGCAGAGCTTCACAGAACCTCTAATCTAGAAAGTATAAGAGCCGTGCTTGAAATCTACTTGGGTATGGGATCAAAGTGTAAGTCTTATAACAGGAGAAAACCCCAAGAAATTACTAAGGGTTATGATCCTTGCATGGGAAAAGAGGCCTCTAGGCTCCTGCTATGCTTCTTCCCATGATATGGTCACATCATTTGGCTAAGCCTCATCTCACCCATCTGTGTAATAGGGACAGAGACATCTATCTCACCATATGGGAAAATGAATACATACAGTTAAATTACATATGGTCCCTGTACTCCAGGAGCTTAGTCTAGAGACTAAGGCCTAAAGAAACCAGTTACTGCATTGAGATGACAGAAATAAGGTCTTAGGAAGGACCTCAGCCTAGTTTGAGAGGACAAAGCAGGGAAGGCTTCCTGGAAGAATTGCTGCCTAAATTTGAGACCTGAAGGAAGACTAAGCGTTAAAGAGAGAGGAAACTAGGAAAGGGCACTTTCAATCGGAGGAAACAGCTGTGCCAAGGCTGCAGGTGAAATAAGGCATCACAGTGGCCCAGGATGACTGGAGGAGAGAACCCAAAAATGAGATGAGGGAAGAAAGCCAGAGCCCGATCCAAAAACGCTGCCTCCACCCTATTCAGGAATCTGGCCTTGGACAACCCAGTCGGGACCCCTCTCACTCATGAGAGCTTTGTACTTTTACTCAGTAAAGTCTGTTGTTTTGCTAAAAACAAAAGAAAAAGGAATCTGGTCTTTCTTCTGCAGGCGCTAAACTGACTGAAGACGGCGGGGAAGTCCTATCTGCATCCCAGGGTGGACTTTGACTGCCCGAAGGAGAATGGACTTGGAGGAAATTAGATCCACCTGTGAAATTCCTTAGTAACCTTACATTTCTAACTCTAGGTCCCGTCTCACCTGCAACTAACCCCCCCCATCCCCCCAGTACTGGCTTCCTTCACTGGGACTTTGTTTTTTTTGTTTGTTTGTTTTTTTAAATATTTTTATTTATTTCTAGGAGAGAGATACACAGCATGAGCAGGGGAGGGTCAGAGAGAGAGGGAGAGACAGACTCAGAAACAGGCTCCAGGCTCTGAGCTGGCTGTCAGCACAGAGCCTGACGCGGGGCTCGAACCCACGAACCGCGAGATCATGACCTAAGCGAAAGTCGGACGCTTAACCGACTAAGCCACCCGGGCGCCCCCCTTCACTGGGACTTTGAATAGCATATGATGAAGACGCTGGTCACTGGTGCACGGGATGATGCGTCTGGCACATATTAACCACATTTTTTTAAAAAAATCTTTTTAAGGAGTTAACGAAGTAGGCTGCTACACAGCCTCAGAAAACCTAGCGTCCCGGACTAATATGCTAGCTGTAGGGATGGGGGAAAAGTGAGTATGTAGATGGTGGCTAACGAACAAGAGAAGCAGACGTGGCAAAGAGGACTCTTTGATCAACAGCATGGATTACGGCAGCTCTGGACAAGGAAACAAAACAACCGAAAGGAGCAAGTGACCGCCGGAAAAACGAGTTCCATCAGGAGAGCCCATTTCGCAAGCCTCCCAGACCCCACGAAGGTCATCCACCTATTATTGTCTCCACGCCCTCCTACCCCACATCGCGGCTTCCAGTCGCCCCTCAAGCCTTCCAGAGCCTCATACCTAGACAGTCTGGAGACACCCAAGCCCCCGCGACTGTCACCACCCCTCCGGGCCGCAGTTTTTCGGGCCTCGTCTACCTACACCCTCCCGCGGCCTGGCCGCGCTCCGTGCACTGGCACCACGCCTGGCCGCCCCACCCCGAAACTCACGCTTGCGGGCCTCCGACACCTTCTCGGCGGCCCGCTTCTCGGCCTGCAGCAGCTGCTGGATGCCCTGCGACTGGCTGGCCATGGCGCCGGCGATTCTGAGGCCGAGGCAAACGGCCTAGAACGGTCGACCGCCCCCTCGGGTCAGCTGACCCGGGCGCCTAGGATCTGCGCCTGCGCCCTGTGGCGGCGCCCCGCCCTCCGTCACGTGACGGCCGCAGGGCCGCGTCAGCTGACTGCACACGGAGTCTGGTGACTGGCCCGGGCAGGGAGGGGCACCAGCGGAACGTCTCGGCTGCGCCTGCGCAGGATTTGTCTTCTGTCTTGACCTCTTCCTCCCCTCAGCCCCCGCCTCCCTTGCACGGCTGTTCCTTCGCTAGTTCGGTTGTCGTGGCTACCCTGCCACGTCGTTATTGCTACAGCCCCTCGCTTTACACTATGTCCGCATTAAGGTCGGGAGGGGAAGAGCCAGGCCAAACACAAAGAGGTTTCTCTATTTTGCCCTCTTCTTTACTCTCCCCTTTCTGGAGTTTTCCTTGGCACTGAAATGTATTAGGGGACACGTTAGAAAAATTCTTACCAGGCTCAGGGGATAGAGTGTGGATTGGGAACAGGGATACTTGGGGACAGATATGCCACTTACGCTGTGTGAGTTGGAGGAGGATGCTTTCCCTCTCTGAACCTCAGTTCAAGGAGCGAGTTGGACTATTTTCCGTAAATATTTGATGAATGCCTGCCACGATCCTAGACCACTGTTCGTAATAGGGAGCAAGACAGATTCCCTGGTGGAGTGCACAGCTGATGGACCAAAAAACCCCAACAGCATTAAAGTAAATAAATTGCAAACCGATACAGTAATGAAAAATACAGGGTGCTTTAAAAAGAGGGGCATAAGGGCTTTCCCAACGAGGTGGTATTTAAAATGAGATCAGAAGAGTGAAAAGTTAGCCTGGAAAGGATACTGGGGGAGTAGGAGAGCGGAGGAGTTAGGGTTGATTAGTGGAAAAGAACCAACATGTCTGGATTTGGTGGGAGCAACTTGGCACAGAGGTATCTCCCACCAGAAATAGGTAGATAGGAAGTGAGTAGTTGAGTATACAACATGACAGGCATTGCCCTGACACTTGACTTGGTTCTGACAGCAACTCTTAATCCCTTTCTATAATAACCAGACTGAAACTCAGGGAAGTCTAACAACTTGCCCAAAGTGACTCCCTTGTTAACTGTCAGATGGGGAATTTGGATCCAGCCAGGCCTGCAAAGTAGAACATCTGATCCACTGTGCTCTGCTCGAATCTTATGGGCTGTGGGAAGGACCAGATGGTCTCCCGGAGTCCACCAAGCGCTGGAAACATAAAACAATGCCAGAACTTTTCAATAGAAGCATCTCCACACTCGAGGATCTGGATTCATGGTTCAGGAGGACATTTTCATTTGATTCAACTTAGAGATGGGGTTGGGAAGAAAGCTGAAATCCAGAACACCTATTCTTTCCTGATAAAAGAATCAGCACTTGACTGGTCTCTGGGACTTTAAGTCCAGTCAGTGATTTCCTGGAAAGATTTGTCCTTTTCAGCATTCTAGGAAAATGTAATTCATTCAATCCACGGAGGACAACGCATGCTTCTAATGAGTGGCAAGAGGAATAAGAGATGGGGGTAGCCAGAAAGTGGAAATACCCAAATGCCTAGCAACTGATGAGTAGATTAACAAAATGTGGCTTACCTGTCAGTGGGATATTATTTGATCGTTAAAAGGAGTAAAGTACTGATACGTGCTGCAATACGGATCCACCTTAGTAACATGCTAAGTAAAAGAATCCGGGCACAGAAGACCACACACTGTGTGGTTCCGCTCGTCTCAAATGTTCAGAACGGGCACATCCTATAGAGATAGAAAGTAGGTTAGTGGCCACCCTGGAGCAGGGGGTGGGGGAAGAGGGAACAAGGAGTGAGGGCTAACTAACTGGCAAGGGGTTCTTTTTTGGGATCATGAAAATGTTCTGGAATGAGGTAGTGGTGACAGCTGCACACCCTTGTGAATACACCTAAAATACCAAATTGTCTACTTTAAAATGGTAAATGATACAGTGTGTGAACTATGTCACGATAAAGCTGTTAAGAAGAGAGAGAGAAATGATGATAATGATGGAGGTGCAGCCTTTGCACAGTTTCTAGTCTTTCGTAAATGCCAGGAGGTGGAAGCTGTTGTTTTGATCTGGTGTGTGTGTGGGGGGGGGGTAATTGTTTGATTTACTAATCTGGTCCTCCACTTAACAAAAGCCTTCACATGAGGGTTCCTCTAACAGCCAGCTTCCTGAAAGCATTGAAATTTCTACACATTCCAGAATGGCTTTTTTTGCTTGCAACATTTCAAAAGTTTATTGTATAAAGAGAACAATACTAAACAATCCATCCTCTGAAATTTTCAGACTGGTGTAGGTTTTCTGGTTATCGGAGTGGGTGTTTGCTGTCAGAACTTGGGTCCTCTAGGGAGGTGTCCTGAAATAACTAGGAAATGAGGGTGAAGCAGTTGCCCTCCAAAGCAAAGCCCTGAGGTCTTGAGCCAACGTCCAGAGCAAAGAGTTACAATCATCTGAGGAACACAGAATGTATCCCAGGCTTGGTACTCCTGATGCGTGACTGTTTCAGCACATCTTTTTTTTTTTTTTTCGTTTTATTTATTTGAGAGAGAGAGAACAAGTCGGGCAGAGGAGCAGAAGGAGACACACACACACACACACACACACACACACACACACACAGAATCTTAAGCAGGCTCCACACCCAGCACATAGTCTGACACTAGACTTGACCCCACAATCCTGGGATCATGACCTGAGCTGAAATCAAGAGTCTACGTTCAACCGACCGAGCCCCCCAGGCGCCCGGAATGTATCAGCACATCTAAGAAAAGGCTGTGCCCTTTCTGATGTGTGGCTCTTCAAACACAAGTCAGAAACAAGGTGAAGGAGCAAAAGTGACCTTTACGGGCCCAAGTCAGCAACAACTAGGGCAAGTGTGGCTTCTCATTGCCTTGTCTAAGGAAACAAGACCGCTGGGTTCAAATCCCAGCTCTGTCATTTACTTGCCGGGTGACCTTGGCAGATTGTTAGCCTGTGTGAGCCTCAGACTCCTCATATGTTAAAGATGGAGTTAGTGACAGTATAATAGGGTCATTGTGAGAGTTGAACTAGTGAATTCATGTGACTAGCTTAGAATGTACTCACTACTCGTAATAACATAGGTATCTGAATCCCTGTGACGGTGAGTTCTCAAAGAAAGATAATCAGTGGGCCTTTTGGGGCTTTTTTTACATTTATTTATTTTTGAGAGACAGAGCACGAGCAGGGGAGGGGCAGAGAGAGAGAGGAAGACACAGAATCCGAAGCAGGCTCCGGGCTCTGAGCTGTCAGCACAGAGCCCAATGTGGGGCTCGAACTCACAAACCGTGAGATCACGACCTGAGCCGAAGTCGGACGCCTAACTGACTGAGCCACCCGGGCGCCCCAGGCCTTTTGTTTTTCTCTCTCCACCTGGTGTACTTAGTGAGTGGAAGTTCACCTCAAAGTGACTGCTCTACGGACACCTAGCAGGACCAGCACTTGAAGCTGAACAGGTTGCTCACTGCACAAGGAAGTGAGACTATGCTAAAATCCGGTGCCTGCTCCACCTGCTCTCCCCAGAGAAAGCACCTCTCTCTAATTCATTCAAAGGCTCCATGTGGCCAACTCGTAGTCCTGTAACAAAATCCAGGGTGGGGGGCGTGACTTGCCGCTGTGGGAAACCCTAAGGGGACTAAATACCCCACCCTACCTCCACTCCCACGTAGGGCCTCCTATGAGACAGGTTCTTGGCCACTGCCTACACATTTTCCACCTTGGAATGCTGATGATTAATAGTTAACCCTTCCTCTTCCTTGATTTACACTGAAAATAATTCTGAGGCCGCCTGGGTGGCTCAGTTGGTTAAATGTCGGACTTTTGATTTCAGCTCACGCCATGATCTCATGGTTTGTGGGATCGAACCCACATCCAAACCTGCGCCGACAGGTGGAGCCTGCTTGGGATTCCTTCTCTTTCCTTCTCTCTCTGCTCCTACCCCGCACATGCTGTCTTTCTCTCAAAATAAATAAACATTTAAAAAATATTTTTTAAAGAAAATAATCTTAAAGAGACGAAGGTTGTATTCTCAAATCTCCATGGTGTTAGAGAGATAATATTTATCCTCCAATGAACCCAGTGAGCTGTGTGTCGCTGTGATAGTTACCGGATTCAGGACACATTCACTGAAAATATGGCACCTTGACATATTGAAAATTTTAAACGGAAAGAATTTGAGGATCGGCAGGTGCAGGAAGGATTCTTTGGCCTTTCCTTGAAGCAGGTCATGGGACTCTCGTGTGAGAAATGTCCTCCCTCCATCCAGAGGAAAGGGGCATCCTTATCTCCAGGACCCCAAGAGGCTTCAAGAGAAATCAGGACGAACAGGCCTTGCTAGTTTCCTCCAGTTTCCTCCTCTTCGCTCATACCCCTTTCGTCCTAACACATTTTCCGTGACTTCCCACTCTTCATCAAACCAAGTGTAAAAATACTCAGGTTGAAACACTTCCTTGGGTCTTCATTTCCTTATGAAGTCTCCCATGTCACACAGAACTTACCTTAAATAAATTTGGATGCTTTTCTCTTGTAAATCTGCCTTTTGTTATAAAGACCCAGCCAAAAACCTAAGTTGGGTAGCAGCAAGATATTTCTCCTCCCTTACAATAGCATTTACTTGCTATTTCCATCTCTTCCAGAATCTAGGGTCTGTCTGGGTAACATTTTTTTCTCTGCTTTCCCAGGAGCTAAGAAGCAGGCCTGGAAAGCAGGTCAGGGAACAAAGCATTGCAAATTATTCCTAGAAATTAACTACAGATGAGTCTGAACAAAGTCAGGACAAAAAGATATTAATAGTTACACTCTTCGTTAATTCATTCATTTAGTTAAACATGTTTATTGAGCCCCCGGTTTGTGCCAGCCTTCAGCAAGTGACTGCATATGAGCAAAGCAGACACATCTTTTGTCCTCCTGGGGCTTGGAGTCAATGGGGGAGACAGCCAGACAGAAATACCCACCAATGAATATATAATATTTAACTGAGTTAAATGCTCTACAG